AAAGCCCCAGGTTCTGAGTGAAGTGGCTGGAAAGATTGTGCCCGCACTTATTTTGCTTTTCGATGGACTAAAGCGCGCCTACGAGTCTCGGGCTCAGGAGGAAGAGGAAGAAGAGGAGGAGGAGGACGGTGACGACTGCGAGGAGGCATTGTCCAGTGACGAGGATGACATGGACGAAATGGCGCCCGATTATCTGGATAAATTGGCGGAATTCGCCAAAACGAAGGGCAATGAGTCAGGCTTCGAAGTGAAAGCAGAAATCAAGGACGAAGATGCTGATTCGGACGGTGATGCGGAGGAGTCTGTGGGTGATCTGAACGAGACTGGACTGGAGTCATTTACCACGCCCATCGACGATGAGGAGAACGAAAGCGCCATCGATGAGTACTGGACGTTTAAGGAAGTTATTACTGGTAAGTTGGGTTGCATTCTCTGCAACATTGAGAAACTAAATAACCGACCTCTCATTACCTCAGCACTTTCTGCACAAGACCAAGCCTGGTATGCGCTATTGACCTCCAACCTCACACCTGAGCAAGCCAAGGCGTTGCAAGAAGTGGTGTTGACCGCCGACCAACGCAAAGCCGCCAAGGAGTCGAAGCTGATCGAGAAGCAAGGTGGCTTCGCCTTTCCGCAGACCGCCGTGCCCACTTCCTTTAAGTTCGGCTCCTAAGAAACTGAATTGACCAGATCACCAGAGCCTTGGTTCGATTTCTGACTTGATTGTTTCTCATATTCTTTCCAAAAATAACAAAAACATCAAACAAAATACATCTGGCATGCTGATGATGGCTTTATAGGCATTCTCCTGGTTTTCGTACACTCCGTGTACCAATGTATGCTGCGACGATCGGTCGATTAATCAGATCGATCGATCGAGCGGCGTCGAGACCGCACTATATTTATTGTAGATTTATATTTTATTTCCTATTTCTCGGCCATGGCGGCCAACTAAATTATGATAACTTAAGTCGAAAGTCCATTGTAAATCTTTGTATGTAAACGAAAAAAAACGAAAAACAAACACGTCGAGGACGAGAAGGTCTCATTAAATGAGATTGTGCCCACCAGCACGCCCCCGTAGAACTCCAAAAAAAGATGGCAACTAGGTCAGAAAATGAGAATTCAACGCAGAGCATTTCACATACATTTTCTTTATACACACATACACGTATATTCTTTACTAAATGAAGCGATATTTTTGAAAAATAAACAAAAAAAAAAAACATTTTTAACGTTTGAACTGGACAAAGCTTTTTTTTCTTTGGGCACCTATTTGTTCGGTGAATTAAAAGATTTAGTTTTGTTGGTGTTTATAATTGAAACATTCTCAATACAAATTATTTAGAGACAGAATTGGAAATTGAAATTTATATTCAGTAAAACTGAATAATTTAATTTCAGGAAGATATTCATATTTTTAATTTTGGCGGGCACTAGCACGAGTTATCGATAAGAGAATTCTCTGAAAACGTTTTCTTACACTTAATGGCCGATCGATAAATGATATAAAAACGCATTATTTGTTTGGGTCTATCGTTATCCGACAACAAGCCGCATTTGTTTACAACCCAATTGTATTTATAAGGTGGTTTACCGGGATTAACCATGAAAGTAGCTGTAGAAGGGTGCGCACATGGCGAACTGGAACGAATATACGACACGATATCGGGAATCGAAAAGGATGGCGCCACTAAGATCGACTTGCTTTTGTGCTGTGGCGATTTTCAGTCCACCCGGAATCTGGAGGATTTGCAGACGATGGCTGTTCCAAAGAAGTACCTGGACATGTGCTCCTTTTACAAGTGAGTAGAGTTTCTGTTTTTTAGATCAGAAGGTAATCAATTTCTCATTTAAGGTACTACAGTGGTGAGCTGGTAGCACCAGTTCTGACCATATTCATTGGCGGTAACCACGAGGCTTCCAATTACCTGCAGGAGCTCCCTTACGGCGGTTGGGTGGCTCCAAATATCTACTACCTTGGTTATGCCGGTGTCGTCAATGTAAACGGAGTTCGGATCGCCGGAATAAGTGGAATTTTCAAGGGTCACGACTTTTTGCGCGGCCATCATGAATTCCCTCCCTATACCGAGTCCACGTGTCGCAGTGTCTACCATGTGCGACAGTTAGAAGTCTTCCGGCTGAAACAATTATCCGGGCGAGTGGATATTTTCCTGTCACACGACTGGCCCTCTGGGATCTATGAGTACGGAAACAAGGCGCAACTGCTCCGTAAGAAACCCTTTTTTGCGGCAGACATGGAGAGCGGTAAGCTGGGTAGCCAGCCATTGGAAGAGTTACTAAAAGCGGTCCAGCCGGCGTATTGGTTCGCTGCCCATTTGCATTGCAAATTTGCCGCTTTGGTGCCGCACAATCACAGCCAGAAACTGGGAGATGAGGAATCTTGCTCTTCCAGCAGCAGCAGTGAAGATGAGGACGAGGATAAGAATAAGGAACAGAAGGCTGTTCCTACACCTACACCTTCCAAATCGGTTCCCGTGACCAAGTTCCTGGCTCTCGACAAATGCCTGCCGCGTCGTGCTTTTCTGCAAGTGGTAGAGATACCAAGTGATCCCATCGAAGGCACTCCCCGTCTGGAATACGATGCAGAGTGGCTAGCCATCTTGCACAGCACGAATCACTTGATTTCTGTGAAGGATAATTATTATTACCTGCCCGGCAAAAAGGCGGGCGAGATTACAGAGCGATTTAAGTTTACGCCCACTGAAGAGGAACTAGAAGCCGTGACCGCAAAGTTTCAGAAACTTCAAGTCCCAGAGAACTTTGAGCGCACAGTGCCAGCTTTCGATCCCGCCGAACAGTCTGATTATAAGCACATGTTTGTGGGTCAACCAAAAGTTCAACTGAATCCCCAGAGCAATACGTTTTGTGCCACTCTTGGTATAGACGATCCACTGTGTTTAGTTTTGTTGGCGAATGGCCAAGAACTGCCTACGGTTGGAGCAAAAGAATTCAAAGATACGGATACAGAAAGTTCTAAGCTGCAGCCGATAGAAGAAGATGTTACTGAACCTTTGGTTACGCCAACTAAAAGGAAACTTAACTTATCCCTGCCAGCTCCTATATCGACAGCAGCAGATACCACCGATAAAAACGTGATAGACCTGCCCGAGGAGGAACCAGAAGATGCAACTATAGCAACGGAAGCCCCTCGAGTTGAGAAGCCTGCATCAGAGCCCGCTAGTCCCAATGTGAAGAAACTGAAGAGACGCAATCAGGATATTTACCAAGCGCAAGAAGATTGAAACCTATCAAATTCCGTGAAAGCGGAGAAATTTATACAAAAAAGGCAATTTTATTTAAATAACACAGAAGATACTTGGCTGATACGAGCAGCCAACAGGTGATGATGGGCAAATAAATAGGAGGGTTTTAGCTGCTGGCAAGCGAGATAATGACTCACTGGGTCCCGCTGGCATTTTCGGCATAGACCTCGTCGGCGCACTGAAAAACGGTCTGCACCACAGATTCGGGCGTCTCCACAACATCGCAGTAGTACGTATCTGGTGATGGGATGCAGTGCAACTGCACCTGGTTGCCATCCGCCTTGACGCGATAGAAGCGGCACTGTCGCGGTCCATATGTGGGAATATCCGCGTCGTATGGCGGACTAAGAATGTCGAAGAAGGCGGCTACGTCATTACCAATTTGGCCAATCTGGTGGTAATTTCTCTTTATAGGCGTTAATGTGGCACAAGGACTAGCCGGCGTGACCAAGGTGGGTTCCTCGGCATTCACCTTCACTACTGTGGGATGGGGGTCATAGGTGAGCGACTCATCCGGGCCTATCTGGTGCGAAAAGCTGTCCACCCTTAACTGACCCCAGATGCAGCGTAGCAGACCGAACATCATGGGGTGGTCATGCAAGGGTATAGTGCTCGCTCCGCGCACTATGAACAGGCTCATGGAGAAGCGGTCATCCTCGAAGATATGCATGTAGCTGCATGGTGCCCGATGACTTCCTCCGTTGCGGAAGAGCTCGTCGCGGAGGTGCAGATCCCGGTAGGTCAGCTCATCCGTCAATTGACGCAGGTGCTGCAAATTCGCATTGAAGCTGGCGTGATTTGCCCGGTCGAACGTTTTGAAGGCCTGCCGCAGTACATTGCTGAAGTGCGTCGTCATCTTTCCCGACCAGGTGTACTGAACTCCTGTCAGATACAGTAACAAAAGGCAAGAAACGACTGCAATTCTTTGTCAGTCAAGATAAACAATCAGCTGATCCAGTGTTGGAAAGCTTATCACGGACTACTTGGATGTATTTAAGAACATATTTAAACAAATGTTTTTATTAATGCATAATTAGGTCTAGTAGCCGCGCTCCTTAGACTGTGTGGCGTGCGTCAGTATCCAGGACTTGTAGTCGCGCTTCTTCATCGACATCTGCTTGTGGCGTGGATGCGTTGGACAGATGACATAACCGCGCTCCTGGCGCACCACGATGTAGCAGTCCTTGCAGCGTCGCTTCAGGCGGCCCTTGACCTTGAATCCAGCCACCTGCTGGACCAAAGTGGAGCCAGGTGTAAGCAGTCCCGACGCCTGACTGATCCCAGCTGGAGCGGTGACAAGTTGTGTGTTTTGCATCGATACACTTGCAGGAGCCGCCGGTCGAATGAGAAGGTGGAAACCACGCGCGGCACTGAGACCGTTCCACAAGCGGGAGCCTTGTTGCAGTATTCTACTAGCCAGGGACATCTGAAATTGTCATTTTCATTGAGATTTTTAAAGAAAATTATAAGAAAAGTGCACCCACCACCTCTTTCTGTTTTGGATTCAACTGGTAAGAAACCGATTACAACCGATGACTTTAATTGCTTCGCAACACTGGTTGGCGCTAAAATGTATCGTTTTATAAACTAAACTTATTTAAAATGTGTAATTTTGTATTTCTTGTATTTAATTTCCTTACATTTCCCGCATTTAATTTCTGATTTAATTTATTACAAACAAAAGCCCTTTCAAAGAAAAAATACAATTCAAGATTTTATGATCCATATAAATTTTTTTTTTATCAGAATGCAATTAAAGGAATTCAGAGCATATTTTAGTGCGCAGTTCAAAACGTATTCGAATAAAGACTTTTTTTATTAATCGATACTGATGACTTCCACGGGATTCGAGGATGACTCGTCCAGGCGGGAACGTTTGCACTTGGTTGGTCCCGCGGGTTCGTCGTCAGATGAATCCAAAATCTCGGTGATATCCTCATCCTCAATTACTTCACATGGCTTGCGCTTAGCGCCCGACTTTGGCGGGCTCTGTACAGAGAGTTTGTCTGTGGCCACGATAACAACTTCTGCTTGGTCCTCGTCTTCCTCGATTACCAGACAGTCATCGTCATCCTCCTCAACCACTTCGGTTGGTCGGCTGCGCTTCGAGGTAGAGGGACCATCGTCTTTTGAGTCTTCTTCCCCGTTGGCAGAACGTTTCGTAGCCGTTTTTTGATCATCCTCCTTGGCTTCCACTGTGTCCTTCTTCTGCTCCTCATCCTTTGGCTTCAGCTGCGAGGCATCTGCCACAACTTCGAACAAATTTTCGTCTCGCTCCGCATCAAAGTGGGATATGATAATACTCAACTCGTAGTTCTGGAAGAAGTCATCGCACTTGAGGATCACACCATCTACGATGTTCAATTCGCTTAGGAGCTTGCCCTCGTTGCATTCCGTCTCTCCCTCCTCTGAGGAGATTAGAATGGAGCCACTGCTCTCCACAGTCACATCCGGATTCAACATGTTGAGCGTCTTAACCAGGACCTCGTCACGCAGCTCCTTTATACGCAAGCGCTTGGTGTCGATCTTGAGAGTAATGGCCGGGTCGCTGGCGCATACATAGCAGTTGGGATTGGGACCTGGGAGAGAGGCGTCCGGGACAAGGAAGTGATTTCGTGCATTTGGTCTAAGTCGTGCATAGACAGCCTTGCACTGCTCCCATTTGGCCTCCAGCACCTTGAAAGACCGCATCACGGAAATACCCGCCGTAATCGCATTTGTTGTGGCAATAGCAGGAATGATGTTACCCGCCATTGACTTAATCTCGAACCTTGACTTTCGCTCAATATCGAAGATGTGGGATCTCACGTTTGCGCATGCCGCGACGAAATCCATGGCCGGCTGATCGTCCTTGTCCCAAGCCAGAGTATCGTCGCCTTCGAGTTTTAGGAAGGTACCGCTTAACTCTTTTAAGGAATTGGCAAAGACCTGAGCGCACTCCTCGATAGACCAGACCTTGTGGTGCTGCTTGGCCACATCCTTCTGATCGCCGGAGGAGCCTTCAGACTGCAGGGTATCCCACTGCACGGGCACGGGTGCCTTGCGGGTCTTCCACAAATTCGACATGCGCAACAAGTAGGTAATGTCTTCGTTAAAGAACTTGTTGAACAGCTTGCCTGCATCGTAGTTGCAGTCCCTAGCCCATTGGCGGGTGTTTATCCGCACTATGTTGCCGTTGGCAGTATCCTCCTTGGCCTCCTTTTCCTCCTTTGACTCTTCGCCCTTCTCCTTTTCATTCTCATCGTCCTTTTTGGGCTCACCGTCTCCGTCTTTTTCCTTCGCATCGGGATCAGCAGCATCAGGAGAAATATCCTCATCTTCCAAGGACTCACCAAAGAGTTGACTGCAAAGCAACAACAATAATAATTAATTATGTTTACACTATCTTTGTATCGGTTAATAGATAAGTATACTCACTTAAAGAGATGTTTTGCCCAGACAATGCAGTGAATCGGTTCGGAGGGCGTATTGCGTATGGTGCACCCAGGAAAGCTTCGCTGTTTGTCCTTCGGCGTGCACTCGTAGCACTGGGTGAGGCCACGCTTGATCAGTTCCACTTGGCCATTGTAGCCGGCGGTACCGCTCTCTATTAGCGGGACATCCGCATTCAGACACATGCGATTTACATGGTTCCTAGCGGCCCTGTTGTCCAACGCGCTGAGCACCAAATCGAACTTCTTAAAGAAGTTGACGCCATAATCAGTACTAAAACGTATTTGTAGTTGTATTATGTTAACAAGAAGCAAATGCGAAGCTATCCCAACTTACGATGTAACACTGTCATGGTAAGCGGTTATCTTTGCATCCGGATTGAAGCTCAGTGCGCTTTCCCTAGCCACCCGTGCCTTAGATTTTCCAACGTGCTCGCGATGGAAGAGGAACTGTCGGTTCAAGTTGCTCAGATCAATAGTGTCCAGATCAATCTAGGTTTTGTTAATTTATTAATACACTATAATATGCAGCAATACTTTTCCGAAGTAACTTACAATTTCAATATCTGTAAAGCCGCTGAGCACAAGGTTTTTGAGCACCTCGCAGCCGATTCCGCCGGCGCCCACGACCAGGACCTTGGACTTCTTTACCAGCTCCTGCAATGTGGCCGGGAAAACACCATCGATAGCTGCTGCCATTTTCTGTATTTAAGCTTTCCTTTTTCTTAATTTTGGCAACAAAATTGCAAATTGGCGATATAGAAAAGCCGAAAAAGTGACGCCGCCGGTGCAGGTGTTGGAAAACGTCACTACCAGGGATGGCGAGTTAAATAATAAGTTGGTGACACTTAAATGAAAATTATAAATATAACACCTTTTGTAGACTTATTATATTTTAAATAACATAAGGTGAAATGGAGAATGGAGAACACAGAAAAAAATTAAAAAACTTTTAAAATACATCAAAAATCTTTTGTTTGATAAGTCAACAGAACAGAAATCACTTGTAAAACATAATAGCAAGATATCACATTAGCCAACACTTCGACTCCACCAGCTCACTTAGCGCAAGCTGGTCACACTACACTCTGCGCTAATCAGAAATAGAGAAAAGCATTTTAATTCGGACAAAGTGGACATACGGATCACGGAGCACGGATCACGGCAAACGCGTAGAGCGGAACACGGACGAGAACTGCTCAAGCGGAATCAATAGGAATCAATACATTGGGAATAAATCTGGCGAAAATCGAATAATGGCTGAAGTGCGACGCAGGAAGGGCGAGGATGAGCCACTGGAGGACACCGCCATCTCCGGATCCGACGGAGCAAACAAACGCAATTCCGCCGCCGACTCCTCAGACCATGTAAGTAGCAATGACTTGTATGTGGAGCAGCCGAGCGGCAGCTGTTCCGGATTCCAATTTGCATAATTCTTGGAGCATAGAAAACCCAATGTGTGTATACCAACAACTGTGTGTGGGTGTGTGTTTTTGTTATTCTCTGACGCACAAGCAGGTGGGAGAAAGAAGAGAGAGCTCTCTCCTGGAGAAAATCCAATAACAAACACAAAACACACCACCAGCTAGCCACCCATACACCCACCTGCTGTGTTGCAATATAGCGCCATTATTATCAGCAAAATCCAATTAGATGGACGACGCCAATTACGGAAGCACTGGGCCAAAAACCCAGAGCCGGAACCATTACCATGACCAGGCTTCCTCCTCCCTTTCTTGACATTTCTTTTTCTTTTGCTGGATGATAACCAACGCAATATCTCCTTATCATTTAGCAAAAAACAAAAAACGCCACCAAAAAAAATTCCGCCATTTGTCTCCCCACTTAGTACCCCTCTGTATTGGATAAACGACTGATTCTGATTATGGGTATATAGGCACATAGTACATACACGTATCATGGACTTTGCTCGGCGTCGTCCAATAGAAAGTGTTTAAACCCTGCACTCCGGTCGTATCGAATCTGAATAGGAAATAGGAAACCTTATTTGCAGTCCCAGCCAGTGTAATCAATAAGCGAATTTCTCTTCCTCTTTCACTTCTCCTTCTCCTGCAGGTGGACTCCGAGGAAGAGAAGATTCCCGAGGAAAAGTTCGTCGACGAACTGGCCAAGAACCTGCCGCAAGGAACCGACAAAACCCCCGAGATATTGGACTCGGCCCTCAAGGATCTGCCAGATAGGTATGTGAACCAAATGCATATGTATAGTATGGAACTTTTAAAGATCATGTCTGATTACCCAAAGCTTAATATAGTAGGGGTGATTCAAATTTTTAAAAAGTACTGTCATAATTTATAGAAGCGCGAATTTTATAAATCCGGCAGAATGAGTGCGTTCCAAAAATAATCCATATCCACAGCTGTCTACAGTTGGCGAACAAATATTCTAAGTAAATATGTACATTTACAAACAATTATTATTTTGCGCATTCCACAGATGGAAGAATTGGGTGATTCGCGGCATATTCACATGGATTATGATATGCGGCTTCGCACTGATCATCTATGGTGGACCGCTGGCTTTAATGATCACGGTAAGTTTAATGGAATTATATATTATAAGATATATATTATATTATATATTTGATTAATTATTTTCCTACTTTTTCTTTGCAGACTTTGTTGGTGCAGGTGAAGTGCTTCCAGGAGATCATCTCGATCGGCTACCAGGTTTATCGAATTCATGGCTTGCCCTGGTTCCGCAGTCTTTCGTGGTATTTCCTACTCACCTCCAATTACTTCTTTTACGGGGAGAATCTGGTTGACTACTTTGGCGTTGTAATTAACCGGGTGGTCAGTAAATAATATTATATTTAACCGGATTATATCTACATAATATGCAATTTAATTTACAGGAATATCTAAAGTTCCTGGTGACCTATCACCGGTTCCTTTCCTTCGCCCTGTACATCATCGGTTTCGTTTGGTTCGTCCTCTCACTGGTGAAGAAGTATTACATCAAGCAATTCAGCCTGTTTGCCTGGACCCATGTATCCCTGCTGATTGTCGTCACCCAGAGTTACCTCATCATCCAGAATATATTTGAAGGCCTCATTTGGTTCATCGTACCTGTCTCGATGATTGTGTGCAATGATGTCATGGCGTACGTGTTCGGTTTCTTCTTTGGGCGCACTCCCCTCATCCAGCTCAGTCCCAAGAAGACCTGGGAGGGCTTCATCGGGGGTGGCTTCGCCACCGTCCTCTTTGGCATTCTCTTCTCATATGTGCTGTGCAACTACCAGTACTTTATCTGCCCCATCCAGTACTCGGAGGAACTGGGACGCATGACTATGTCCTGTGTGCCAAGCTATTTGTTCACGCCGCAGGAATACAGTCTTAAATTGGTAAGTGATGATGCATTTTTATCTTAGGACGATAGGGTTACCGATTTGTATATGGCTACATTGATAATTGTAATTATTTCCAGTTTGGCATTGGCAAGACTCTAAATCTTTACCCCTTCATCTGGCACTCGATCTCCCTGAGCCTGTTTAGTTCCATTATTGGACCGTTTGGTGGATTCTTTGCCTCTGGGTTTAAGAGAGCTTTCAAAATCAAGGTAAGCAATCCTTGTGGATAACAAGGCTTTTCAATTAAAAATAACACCATATAATTTACAGGACTTTGGCGACATGATACCCGGACATGGCGGCATTATGGATCGCTTCGATTGCCAGTTCCTTATGGCCACCTTCGTTAATGTTTATATATCCAGCTTCATCAGAACTCCGTCGCCGGCAAAGCTGTTGACACAGATTTACAACCTTAAGCCAGATCAACAATACCAAATTTATCAGTCGCTTAAGGACAACTTGGCTGACATGCTAAACACAACTTAATCGGTTACCATTAAGAATCGGACAAGACGTTTGCTTAGTCGTACGTTCTATATGCAATGCAGAAAATTCTATATATACATTGATATATATCTGTAAGCGAACGGGCCAGCACTTTAGGCAGCCACATAAAATAAGTTAATTACGGGCATAATTTTTGTTATGTTTTTAGTCCTTAGTTAGATTTTGTTGCTACATTTTAGTTAACTTCCTAAGTTAGTTTTTTTATTTGCTGCTTTAATTTATTGCGATTGTTTTACTTGGCAAAACTCTACACAGTGCAATCGTATTGTTAAGCGATTCCATTAATCTTAATGTCCATGTGACAAGGCGTCAAGGCAAGGCAAACAGAATAACTATGAATTTAATATCGACTATGTGTGTGTGCGTGTTGTTAGTGAATTTAATTACAATAACTATAGCTTAGGGGTGATTAGGCAGGCAACGCCAAATGTGGAGATTAGCATAATTATAGCGCATTTTAGTTAAATACGTGAGGGGCGAAATTATGAGATCAAGTTACTGCTGTAATTCTATATAGTGCAATATGCAGACGGTAAACAATTGATTTAACGATTTCAATATTTATTTCTTAACGTTCCTTCGGTCATATAATAAATCATGCATGGCGCATCATCCTCAACCCGTGAAACTTTCTCAAAAAGTACGTAGATGATATATAATCGGTTACTTATAAATCCTGTTATACTGTACGGCATTTAAGTGAGAAAATGCAATTCGTCGCCGATTTAAAGAACTAAGTGTACAAAGATTTCAATATTAAATCTTACAGTCTCTATGTTAAATATATAAAAAAAATGAAAACAAAACAATATGGGAAGCTTTTTTCTTCCATGGCACTTGGGATATTTTTAACATCGTAAAATCAATTTTAATCTCTTCAATAGATAGAGGAGCGGTGTGCCCCCTAAATCAAGTGGATGGTATTTACCATCATCTTTTTGATTAAGAACCGCTGTAGGTCGTCCACATCTGCGCGCTCTATATCGAAGTATACTTTCCGACTGCGAGCATCATCGAGAAGGTTGCGCCACATTTCCACAGTCTACAAATTTAAGAGTTAAAAAATATATGTTTTAATTCAATTCAATCAGGATACTGACCTTTAGGTCTTCAAAATTGCCACAGATGACGAGGCAACGACGCGGTCTGGTCAGTGCGACATTGAGTCGCTGATAGTTTGTGAGAAAGCCACAGCCGCGTGTTCTGGCATTTGAAATTATGATTACATCCTTTTCCAATCCTTGATACGAGTCTACAGTCTGAGGAGTGATATTCATGTGATTGGGAATCAGCTGGCTTAGAACGTAACATTGGTTTTGGTACGGCGAAATTAATCCGTAGCTAAATCGCTTGCTGGGCATATGTTTGTCCATTTCTTGAAGGAGTTTGGCCACAAAACGAGCCTCCTCGTCATTGCTAATACTCTTTGTTTGGGCGCAACTGTTGTCTTGGGTGTACTTTAAATTAATCACACAGTATGGAATGAGCGCGGAGGCGAAACGAGCAGTACACTCGGCGTTTATCAACTGGTCCTCGTAGAAATACTTGTTGGGCCATCGACAGATCTCCGGGTGCATGCGGTACTGCATGCTGAGCTTAAAAAGTTTTGTATGCATTAACTGATTACTGCCTGGCTTATCGAGCTGTGTCTGAAGGCTTCGCTGAATGCGATCAAACATGGAATTACAAAGGCCGAAATCTATGGCTTTCTTGGACAGCACCACAGCCGGAAGTTGCTGCGTGTCGCCAACCAAAACCAAATGCGATAATCCGAATCGCATTGGCAATAGAGTCCACGGCTCTGTGCACTGTGTGGCCTCGTCGATGATGCAAATGTCAAAGAAGTCCACATAATTTGCCAATTTTACACAGGAGGAAAGCGTTGTGCAGATGATGTTGGCCCTGGCCACACAAGTCTGAGAGATCTCGAATTCCTCGCGCTGCGTCAACGGCGGATTCAGTTGGTCGCTTATTAGCTGCAGTTGTCGTTCCTTCTGGTGCAACTGTTGCAAAAGATATGTTGATGTAAGATTCGCTTTCTGCTTCAGCTGTTGAATATCAGTCGTAAGATCACTATGCTGCTTTCTTAAGATTTCAGCGTTCTCCGTGCTAAGGCGTTGCAACTTCCGATCCCTGACATTTTTGAAATGCTCCTCCAGCGAAAACGGACGCGAGTAGGGGCTCATCTTCTCGTGCATGCCGAAACGCAGTAACTGGAATTGGGCGCGGCTCATCACACTCCAAACTTTACCAAGCAGCTCAACAATATGATCCACGGCTGTATTGGAATGAGCACAAATCAAGATTTTGCGGTCCAGCGTTTTGGCGGCATTTCCGTACAAAGTCTGCAGACATAGTTCGGAAATAACCTTTGACTTTCCGGTCCCGGGCGGACCCTGGATCAGTGTGAGACTCGGTTGTAAATCGTCAATGATCCGTTGGTAGGTGCGCAGGACAATGTTCTCCTGATGTTCGTTCATCTTGTGGAACCCCTTGTAAGTAAACGGTTGCTTTGGCAGTGAAACCTCATTGACCGTGTGCGTCGGCTTCAAGATGCGCCGGCAGAGCGGTGAGCTAGGGAGCTGATGAATGGCACTCAGAGCCCCAAGCTCCACCCGTAAGCTGTCTACTACTGGCCGTGCAGTCAATTGCTTAACTCTATTTATCGTCTCCTCGGATAAATCTTGTTTCAGGATCTCAAATGTCAAGTCGAAAACGTTGCCTGAGAGGTCAGAGAAGGAAGGGTCTATTGTGATGGAGGTCTACACATACACTTAAACATATGGTAATGACTTACATGAGACACTCTTAAGCTCCATTAGATTGGCAAATGTTTCTTCTAGTACGCCATAACTGTAGAGGGTATAAAGGACGAATTTTCCATTGGGTTTGCTATTGACTGAATAAAAAGTGCGAAAATTAGTAAGAATGGTACAAAATATTTAATGTGCTTACCTCTGGTAATTAAGCGATAGCAATCATCCTGCATATAAACGTGTTTTAAGCTTACCGAAAAAGTGTATCTGTTGTTAATTTTGTAGTCTCTTTCGATGGTGGAAAGCAGCTCCAGTTTCATCAAGGGCACAAATATCCTGCGAAAGTGTATTTAAGAATAAAAAATGTAGAAATTAGAACACTATCATCGATCTCACTCTCTATAGTTCTTGAAACTATCAAAATCCGGTGGAATTGGCATTAGGACTTCTCGATCCGCAACTGCATCTGCGGTGCCATGCTTTAGCCATTGGTTCGCCCACTTTAGGATACTCCGCGAGTGCTGGCGTATGTCGTTCACCGGTTTATTTTTTTTTCGAATCCATTCGCGGCGATCGTGGTAGGAGCTGAGGTAGAGCTTTATGCACTCCTTGCGTCCCTGTACCTGAGAGCTGGCTCCCTTGACTCTTTCGATTAAGTGTATTTTGACATCATCGTTGAAGTGCACTTTACGGAGCTTCTTTTGCATCTTCTTTAAGTCTTCGGCTTTTTGATGGTAAAGCTCCATTTCGGCGAAGGTAAGTTTGTTGCAGGTGCGCTGATTCCTCGCCCGCTCCGCTGCCTTACGTTCCACTGGACGAGAGCAATGTGGTTGCGGACAAAGAATAGCTTCATCACCTGCTTGGAGCTGCTGTGAGAATGTTTCGGTAGTGGGTGGTTGTTTAGGCACTGGTTTCTTTGCCGGTGGCCTAGCGTTATCTGCCTTTGCCAGTTTTGGGGCTGGGCCATCCACTCCTTTGGTTAGAAAACCGCCACGATTGGTGTTCTGAACGGTTGGAACACTTGTGGGATGCTTTCTCTTATTGGTGCTTGATCTATCATTATTTTCCTTTGTCTTGTCAGACAGCTTCTTGAGGGCTTCGCGGCGGGACTCTTTTAGCTTTTCGTCTTCTTTTTTCTTGTCTTTGGGTTTTTGCTTCCACTTAGCGTTCATTTCAGCTTGATTGTCAATGGCCCGCTGGCGATCTATCACCTTATCTTTTCTTTTCACCTCTGCCGAGATCCCTCGAAGCTTGCCGCGATTCTTTGGCAAGGATGGTGCCTCAATCACAGATGGGCCGCGTGTGAGTCTCGCCTCATTGGAGTTTTGAACTCTTTCATTAGTGTCGCTTTTAGCAATGGGAGAAATACCCTTGATCCCCTTGGCAGGATCGTCGGCTTCCGTGACCACAGAACGATCCGTGTAACAGGATTTGGACCGGTTGAGCAGCCGTGGACTCCTTTTAAGAGGACTTTTAGCTGGAATAGGGTTTTCATCCATGGTCTGTTTTGAAAAATCTGTTTTTTGCAAAGTCTGTTTATTTTCCTCAGCCTCAGCTGCTATTTCTTCCCGGCTGTGTATTGTCTTGCGTTTGCCGCGAATCGGCTTTGTTTTTCTATCCGCACTTTTGGTTTTAGATTTAGTAGATGTCTCCAACTTTTCCGGAGCCTCTAGTGTTACTATCAGTTCTTCAAGATAATTATTAACGCTTTCCTTGTTCTTCTTAAGTAGCATTTCATCCAATTCCGCAGGCCGATCCATATAACAGGATTTTGAACGGCTGCGCAACAGTTTTTTAGGTGGTTCCACCTTGTTCTTAAGAGCATCTTTGAGTTCTTTTGAAGTGGTAGCTAACTCATCCCGAGAAGTGGCCGACACGAGTCTCTTACGGGCACAAGCCTTGTTAGTCTCTATGTTTTGCGCGCTGACATCTGTGAGTTCATTTCGGGATGCAACTGTTTGATTTTTGGTTTCTGCCAACTTTTTCTTATCATCCACTGGTAGCTTGGTCGTGGTCTTCAAGCAGGACTTAAGTTTAGAGTTTAATTTGACCTCTTTATTGTAATTTACAGCCTCATTAGCTTTATTTTGCTTCTCAACATCGGCGGTAGAGCTGACACTGTCGGTAGTTTTATCGTTTTTTAATAGAGCTGATAATTTTCGAACCGCTGGAGGATCCGGAGTCGTGCTGTCGGCTGTGTTAAAGACAAAACATTGTAATATGTCATATTGATGATAGTTAATTTATTTGTTTACTTACCCTGGCGCACAACATAATCGTTTTGAGATCTTGTTTTGGCCGTCTCGTCGTCACTGGAGAACGAGATGCGCATTGCCCTCTCTGCGTGTTTTGCTCCAATGTCTAGGTCCGAGTCTGCATCTTCGTCTTCATTCTCTGCCGGATAAGTTTGCGACATTTCGATGTCGTCAGGTACCACCTTTTGGCTGAGCAGCTTTGACCAATCCGCCACCTTATCATACAGCTCTTCATCATCGGAATCGCTTATGTACACGATGTCGTCGTAACCTTGGTTCGATAGCGAACCTTCAGCCATGTTCCCCAGGGCATTGGTCTGCAAGAAGAAGTCCTCTTCGCCATCGCTTACGGCCATTTCAGCTTTCATTTCTCTGATCACTGCCTGAGACATGGCGAAACTCTCATCATACTCTTCCTCCTCGTCTTCTTCTTGCGCCGCCGGAGGGTTACCCTTATCTAAGTGCATATCCGGCTGTGCATGGTCACCGGTTTCTTGTGGCTCCGAAATGCTCCTCTTATCCCCATCTGTGTCCAGTTCTATACAGTCGCCGTCGTGTATTTTTTTGTGGGTTTTAGCATTGCTCGCAGTCTTGTTGCACAGCTTGTTGTACAAATATGGATTTAGCCCCAATACTGAGTCGAGAATAGCATCGTTTGCTTCCCCAAAAATGTTTTGTATCTCTGCTGAGGTATGCTTTACGATCTCCTCCTTAACTTCTGTTAGTTTTGGTAGATGCAAACTTGAACAAGAAGGCTTTTCCTCCTCCTGGTCGGTGTGCTTCTTGACGGCAAAGTTTGGTATTTGCTGTTTGAGATTGAACTCGGTGGGCTGATTGCCACTGGGGCATCGCACGGCGGGCAGTGGTGTTGTATCGTCATCGTCGGAGGACAGAACGATTTCTTCGACTGCCGGCTTTTTCTTTAGGGTGAATATAGCATGAACGCCTGTAATTTCAATGAGGTTGGCTTCCGCTACCCCCAGGCTGATTGTTGACCCCTCTGCTACTGCCAAACGGTTGATCTTGTCGCCCAAAAATCCTCCATTGATGAAGAGCCCATTCAGGGGCTTCTGTAATAAAAGTACACGTACAAAATGTTCATCTTAGGTGAGCTGCGATAACCTACCAGAGACTCCACTTCAACGCCCTTTTCGCTGACGATGATATTAGCGTGCTCCCGGGACACAAATTGGTACTGTCCTCCCAAGATTATCCTGCATCGCGAGTGGCGACCCACCAAATTAGTCCCATTGTGCAGAATGAGCCGGGCGCCAGTGGTCACATGTTCCAGGTACCACACGCTGCTCATCTCGGCCAACCCTTCCGTCAATCTTTGTACTGAACTAAAGGAAAATTGCTGACTTTGAGTAAAAATTGAACATTGAATGTACGCGACGCATGCACCTACAATAACAACAACTAATCTGGCGAGTGGTTGTGAAATACTACATTGATTGTTGCATTTCCAGCACAGTTCTCTACGCAAATGCGCAATTCCTCTTACAAGACATTACACTGTCGAAATATAATTATTTCTATTTAGTTGCTAAAACAAGGTGTTCTGGTATTCAACAACTGTATGTTATACGTTTTCAAAACTACGCAACAAGATGCACTGTTTTGGTCCGAGGTAAACAGTAAATGGCAGTGCTGTAAAGCGAGTTTTGGCAGTGCGGTAAGTAAGTGCCTTTAAGCCGGTTGTAATTATTTTGATAGCATAGCTGTTAGAATTTGGCAAAGCTTCCAAATATAATAAGGCATATGAAAAGAAGAAATGTGTACACCGGGTGTTTCAGTTACAAATAACAATAATTCCTTAATGACCGTTATGGAAAACGACCTTACAAGCACTTAAGTTGAGACTCGATCCTGGTTATAAACTTAACTTACATTCTGCAGCCCTGGTCTGAGTTTCCCATCATTTTATAGCAACGGTTACACTATTACGCGCCAAATGGCAAATAAACAAAATTTGTGCAATAAAAGAAATTTAGATTTGAGCGAGGAACCAGCAAGCGGAAGCCATGCCAAGCGCCAGTGCACCGAAAATCTGTTTTGGCCGGAAGGCGATGACAACGACAGCTTCTTTTCCAATGCGCAACTGGAGGATTTGCTGGACGGACGGCACGGGGAACTCTTTGGGACGCAGGCAACCACAAGCAGCAACAAGGTAACGCAAGGTGGATCGGATGATGGACTGGCCCTCTTCGCGGACACATCCTTTTCAAGCATAAATGAGGTTCCACCGAACTGTGCTTCTAAGCCTAATGAAACCAGTGCACCACCAACTGATAACCATCAAATTGACCTGGCGGACGAGGACAACGCCGACGAGGTGTTTAAGAAAATCAACCTCAACGATCTAACTATAGCCGAAATGGAGGACATTTTCCATGGCGCTGAAGATTTTAGTGAACCCATGGTTCAAAACACACAACTCTTTTTGGACGCGATGACCTTTAAGAAGCCCAAGACACCAGAGAAGCCACTGCCTCCGCTTAAGGACGATTCCATGTCTTTCCTTTCCAAATCTGTGATAGAGGGCATAGTGCAGGGCACGCAGTATGTGACCTGCGAGGAGCTAAAGAATCAATCAATCCTAGATCCAGTTAATTGGGAAACGCAGGCTTTTGCGGACTTTGAGAAGAATAACCAAATTGTAGACAAATTTCCTAGCAAGGGCGAATTCTATGGTCTGCCGGATAAGGTCAAAAAGATGATTCTGGAACACAAAGGCATCAATAGTCTTTATGGTATGAAAACCGATATATGTTAAGAACACACGATATTTACCAATTAATCCCCCAGAATGGCAGGACGAGTGCCTGAATCTACCTGCCATCAGGCAGCGCAAAAATCTTATCTATGCTCTGCCCACAAGTGGGGGAAAAACCCTAGTGGCAGAAATCCTTATGCTGCGTGAATTACTTTGCCGCGAACGCAATGTGTTGTTCATTCTGCCATATGTGTCCATTGTCCAGGAGAAGGTCAGCGCCATGTCACCATTTGCAATAGACCTGGACTTTATTGTGGAGGAGTACACGGCCGGCAAAGGCAAGTGTCCGCCTCAGCCGCGTCGTAAGAGACGTAGTCTTTTCATAGCCTCCATTGAAAAGGGAGCTGTTCTAATGGACAGCCTGATAGACGTACAACGTCCACATGAAATTGGTCTGGTTGTGGTGGATGAACTGCATTTGATAGGCGAAAGGGGTAGAGGTGCCACCTTGGAGGCTTTCCTTACCAAAGTGATGTTTCTAAATGGTAAGTGGATACCTTGTGTACTTTTTGTATTTATGGCATAAAGCAATTTTTGATTTTTAGCCAATATTCAAATTGTTGGCATGAGTGCCACAATAGGAAACCTTAGCGAAATATCCTCCTTTTTGAATGCTGATGTATACACAAGGGGCTTTCGCCCTGTGGAGCTAAAGGAGTACATAAAATGTGGCCCCGATTTGATGGAGATTAACTCGGCTGGTCAAACGTTGGAGGAAATATTTGTCCCTAGCCGAAGTGTTGACTACAATGTAAGAAATATTCGCATTAGACAGTTTGAAATTGTTGCCAAATGTCCTTTTCTGCTTTGCAGTACAGTGAAGCCGTCAAACGCGCCGATCCCGACCATCTGGCTGGCTTAATCAGCGAATGTGCTCCGGAACACTGTTGTTTGGTTTTCTGCCCTAGTCGGAAAAACTGTGAGAACGTGGCGCTACTTCTCAGTCGAATTGTGCCCAAGCAAAAATTTTTCGAGCATCGCCGGAGCGAGAAGCTGGATCTAATGGATGCCCTGGACAAGATGTGCGGCATACTCAGCCCGGTGTTGGCGAAAACCCTACCCTATGGCATTGCCTACCATCATTCGGGCTTGACAACCGATGAGAGGAAGTACATTGAGACTGCCTATAGATTTGGAGTTGTCACAGTCATTTGCTGTACCTCCACTTTGGCTGCTGGGGTCAACCTTCCAGCCAAGCGGGTAATCATACGAGCTCCGTATGTGGGCCAGGAATTTATGACTTTGTGCAAGTATAAGCAAATGGTTGGACGAGCAGGTCGCGCCGGATTGGGTGAAGCTGGCGAGAGTATTCTGATAGCCCAGAGCAAAGACAATTTGCTGGTCGGTCAAATGCTTTTCTCGCCCATGGATAAGGCTCTAAGTTCATTGGATCAGCAGGAGGCAGTAGGACTGCAAGTAAGTTTTCACCTAATATTTTATTGACGACATAAAATATTTTTAATTTTTTTCATTTAATCGTGCTTATGATCGTCGAAATCTCGAAAACTATGACCAGCGAGTCTCTCTCTTATTTTATTATTCTTGTTGCACTATTTACAATTACTTACTTATATCCACTAAATGCTCCCTAAACTGGGATGCTTTTTGAAAAATAGCCGATTTGTGTGCAGTTTTTTTTTCTTGCTGTGACTGACTTGACAGGTGAAGGATTTGAGAAGACTGAAGAACAACCGAAAAAGTGTGGCATTTAAATTTACTTGGTCAAAGTGACCACCTCGTGACAACTAGATTATCTCACCCGGAAACGATTTATGAAATTATTTACATTCCATGAAAGGAAAATGGAGGCTTTGATTATATTTTAATTATTGGCAATTATTTTCTTGTTAAAAGCTAAATTCAAATCGAATACCATTTTACAATACAATACAATTTTGTTGCAACTTGACCACCTTAACACCTAAGCGTTGGATATGTTCATTTTTTAGCCTGTGCGCCCGTTTCTCATTTAATAGCCAAATGTAGTTTCAATTTAGCTGATTCATTCATATAGATTTGAAATTTTCCGTAATTTGGCGGTAATACGAAAAAATTTCTTCATTTTTAGTTTGGTGCCTACTACAACTGTTTTATCTTTTTTGAACATGATTTTATTTAATTAATCCAAACTACGAGAAGCTACAACATAATTTACATCCTCTTTTTTTAGTCGCTTATACTCAGCGTGGTTGGTTTGAATTTAGCAGAATGTCGTCGCGATTTGAATCGGCTGGTAAACAGCACCCTATTGTCTGTGCAGGCCAAATCCCTGGAGGTGGCCGTGGACGAGATCGTGCTCCGTATTCTCCGAGAGATGTTTAAAAATAAAGTGCTGCAGCTTACCGAACCGCCAGCCAAATCCAAGATCAATTCTTCAGATATTATAACCTCGCAGGATGTGAGTCAGACCAATAGGCCCGCTGGCGAGCGACGTTTGCTCATAGGACAATCGACCCCATTCAAGCTGACCAATATTGGAAGAGCTGCCTTCAAGGCGGGCATTGACTACAAGCGGGCGAATGCCATTCACAAGGAGCTCCAGCAGGCCCAGCAGCAGCTCATCCTGAGCAACTACTTCCACCTACTGTACCTTGTCGTGTGCTTTAACTCGAACGAAAGGGGAGACGAGTTGTTTCCGGCCGATGCCAGCATACTCTTTGGAGTATACACCTCGCTGCCACTGGACTCGCAGGCATTGTTCAAGCAAATTGGTTTTACAGAGGCCCATGCAGCCAGACTTTTTAAGACGCAGTCGGTACAGGGTCCTTTGTCGCTGCAGCTGAATCGACTCTACAAGGTGCTTATTCTGGCGGACATACTGAACCTTCTGCCGCTTCCCTCTGTGGCCAGCAAGTACAACGTGGAGCGGGGAACTCTGCAGCATCTAATCAGCCAATCGACTGCAGCCTCAAGTGCCATTGTGCGCCTGTGCGAGGAGCTGGAAGAGTTTTGGTGCTATAAACCATTGTTTGAGCGGATCCTGAACAAAATGGATCGATGCGGCACATTTGAGCTGGAGCCGCTAATGGAACTGCCAGCGGTTAAGATTGTAAGTTTCAAATGAATCCCGTACAAGTAGATAGAAAACATATAGCCTTAATTAAAGGCTGATACATGAATATTACAAATTGTACTACTCTTCTAGAATCGCGCCAGACAGCTGTATGCTGCGGGTTTTCAAACCATTGAGGATATAGCCAGAGTGAGACCGACGCACTTAGTGCAATCCTTGGAACACATGCCTCTCAGAGTGGCCACGGAAATCGTCTCGGCAGCAAAGGTATACATGGTTTTTGATTTTGAAACCCATTTGATTAACTAATACTTTTTCTTACTTTCTAGATCATTTTGATGAAAAAGCTTGACCATCTGGAAGAGGAAACGGAGAACCTCAAGGACTGTTTAAAAACGTCTGATAAAAATTAGCAGGACGAAAACACAAGTAAAAAAAACAGTAGCTTTAGTGGGTTTTAAATTTATTTCAGTTTCTGTTTTGATTGTTATGCACTCCGACTTAAGTCTTGCACATGGGTTCTCTACAACGAACACGATCTCCGACGAAGCTTAAATATTATAGACAATTTGTATGCAAATTGCATTTTTAAATTAACACATTAGGTATTTTTCATTCTATATGTAAATCAAGGACATCAATTCATGTTTTCCTTATTGTTCTGTTCTGCTGGGTATTTTATGTAAAGATTTTTGATTAATCGGAGATAATCAAGTAGGAGAGTTATTTTTATAAACTACTAGATATGAGCTAGCAGACAAATTCGCAAGCTGCTACTATCACGACATTTGAGTATTATACAACGTATATATAAGTGGGGTTCAGGACATATATAGCTCATACTGCAAAAATAGCATAAGCGATCGAGGGTAAAATTTAGAAAAGCTTTTTGCAGAATGAACCCAAAAAATTCTCTGATAAAAGATTGCTGTAGGTTGTCATCGGTTATGTTGTTTTTCGGCGGCTATTGCTTCATATGTCCCGAACCATTTTGAATTACGAGTACGTTTTGTGCGGCTAAACGACTAAGGTAGAGACAGATTTGTTTAAGAAGTTGGAGCCGTGCACCAAATTGGAACTCTCCTTGTGTGGGGGGAAACTTATTTACAGCTGAAGAAACTGAAATCCAAAGATATGACACCATTTTACAAAAGATATTCTACTAAATCATCAAACTACAAACGCACCTTATTACAAGCGTACTTTTCAGTAGGCAAAGTCGTCGTAGAAATGCTGGGCAATCCGTCCGCCCAGCGGCTGGTGGCTCCGGCTCACTCCCGACCCGGAGACGGCTCCTCCGCTGGAAGATCCGCCGGCTGCTCCTCCGGCAGCAGCGTATTCGAGTCGATGTGGACGCGCGGTTTGCGCCGGGACAATAGCCCGCCTGCGTATATCTGTCGACGAGAAATAGGAATCACTATGATAGCTCGCTGGTTGCGATGCGGATGCAGGTGCGGATGCTGAAGCGGATGTTGGTGATTGATACGCTGGCTGATAGGCAAATGGATTATACGCGGTGGCATATTGCCGCTGCGATTGCTGCTGCTGCTGCTGGTATGGAAGCTGATGCGGATGAGGATGCGGATGCTGGGGCGAGAGCGGTTTCAGCGTGGGATCAAGCGCATCGTTCAATGTCACATCATAGTCGTTCTCGTAGAGCTCGTCGAGATTTAGTTTTGGTCGCTGGGGTTCCACACGCTTAGGTGTGGCGGGCAAAGCGCTGCGAGGCGGGAGAGTCGTTCTGGGTGGACTCGGCGATGGAGGAGCCTCCTCCTCGTCGTCTTCATCGCTGTCAGGACTTCCTCTCAACAGAGGAGCGCCATGCTCGAGCAGACGCACTCCCGAAATGGTGGAACCCATGTCAATGGGCGTGCTATCGGTGGTTGGCAGTGGTTTTAAGGCCACACCCACCGGCTGAAGACCTCGGGGCAGATATGGACTGCCGCCCCTGGAGGGCAGGAAAGGTCTCTTGACCACACGTACCGATGAAGGGCGCTGGGAAAATCCGTTTCGGCCGCTCAATGAATTTGCCCGCGATCTCGGTGCTGGTGCTTCCTCTTCGACGGGCTCCACTGGATGGTCCAGCTCCTCTTCGTCTTCCACGATTGGCTTGCGAGGACGTGGTGGCACTGTTGGCTTCCGGGTAGTTATCTTGGTCCTCAGTCTTTGGTTTCTCAAAGGAGCTGCTGTCGAAACGGGCGCTGGACTCTCCTCGTACTCCTCATCCTCAAAGTCCACATCTGCTGCTGGAGCACGGGACCTGGGAGCCAAGGGACGCTTGCGCTTCCTCAGAGGTTCTGGCTCCGCCGGCTCATCGTACTCATCATCGGCAGGCTTCTTATCTGTTACTGGTTTCCGCAAAGTGGTTCTGGTGGGCTTCTGCTCTGCCCGAGATGCTGGCGTACGTCTTCGTGGAGTGTTTCTAGCTGGAGGTTGCTCGTAGTCCTCCTCCACCTTTTCTTCAGGGTAGTCCTCCTCCTCGTCCTGGGCACTGTTTGATGGTGCCTGTGTGGTGGCCGTGATCTTTTGCACAGGATAGGAGAACTTCTTCTTTTCATTGATGGGAACAGGCCGAGCAATGCGCGGAGGAGCTCGAGGACGAGCATAAACGGAAGCGGCTGCCGCCTTCGGAGTGATAAACTCCGTTAATGGCTTTGGCGTAGTCTTCACTTTTTGGGGCGTTTGCTCTTCGGCGGCCTCTACCTGATCCGCACCGTTATAGGGTTTTTCATATTCATCCAGGTCATCCAAAGCGGATGATGGCGTTGTCCTGTCCTTTTCAATACGTCTCCTTCCCAACGGACGATCTTCGTTGAAGCTGCGCCGTTCCTCCACTCGACCTGGTTTCCTCGGCAATATCTTGCGACCCGCCGTTCCTGCAGTGGGTTTTCCTCTTGATCTTTTACTCGGCCGCTCGTCATAGTCCTCCTCGAGGGCCTCCTCATCGCGGTAACGATTCCTATTGCGCCTGATGGGTTTCTTGGCCTCCGTCCGCTTATCATCGTACTCATCGTCGTACTCCGGCTCCACTTGGGGCTTCCTTTGGCGTGGTCTTGGCTTGGGCCGACGTACGGGTCGCTCCTCGTAGTAATCATCCTCGTACTGATCCTGATCCTCATAGTAGTAGTCATCGATGGGTCTGCGATTGTAGGGCCGTCTCAGCGGACGCTGTGGTCTCTGTAGGCGACGACGAGGTGCAGGAGGTTGAGTGGGTGGCGCTGGCGTAGTTGTGGTACTCGTCGACGTGGTAGTGGTTGCCATATAGAGTTCATCGTTCCTGCAGAAATTGGAATGGGAATAGTTATCATTAAATACATTTTGGTTTTTGGGCATTTAAATTAAGAAATTCATTTTTTTTTAATTTTTTTGATGTGATGATGTAGAAATTCAAAAAAATTAAGAAATTCCTGAGGCTGAAGTTCTAATCTCCATAACTCAACTTATCTTAATCGGATTCTGAAGTGGCATACCTCTAAATGTTTCTGGAGCAATTCTCTAAAAATCTGCATTCAAATTTAAAAATTTATTTTTTTTTCAATTTTTTTGTAATTTTTCTGATGCTATGATGTGGAAATTCAAAAATGTCCCAAGACTGAAGTTCAAAAGTCCATAACTCAACTTATCTTAATCGGATTTTGAAGTGGCATACCTCTAAATGTTTCTGGCGCAATTCTCTAAAAATCTGCATTCAAATTTAAAAATTTATTTTTTTTACATTTTTTTTGTAATTTTTCTGATGTATGATGTAGTAGATATTCAACAAATTAAAAAATGTCCAAAAGCTGAAGTTCTAAACTCCATAACTCAACTTATCTAAATCGGATTTTGAAGTGGCATACCTCTAAATGTTTCTGGTGCAATTCTCTAAAAATCTGCATTAAAATTTAAAAATTTATTTTTTTTACATTTTTTTTGTAATTTTTCTGATGTCTGATGTAGATATTCAACAAATTAAAAAATGTCCCAAAGCTGAAGCTCTAAACTCCATAACTCAACTTATCTAAATCGGATTTTGAAGTGGCATACCTCTAAATGTTTCTGGCGCAATTCTCTAAAAATGTGCATTCAAATTTAAAAATTTATTTTTTTTACATTTTTTTTTGTAATTTTTCTGATGTTATGATGTTGTAGAACTTCAAAAATGTCCCTAGGCTGAAGTTCTAAACTCCATAACTCAACTCATCTTAATCGGATCTTGAAGTGGCATACCTTTAAATGTTTCTGGCGCAATTCTCTAAAAATCTGCATTCAAATTTAAAAATTTATTTTTTTTACATTTTTTTGTAATTTTTCTGATGTATGATGTAGTAGATATTCAACAAATTAAAAAATGTCCCAAAGCTGAAGCTCTAAACTCCATAACTCAACTTATCTAAATCGGATTTTGAAGTGGCATACCTCTAAATGTTTCTGGCGCAATTCTCTAAAAATGTGCATTCAAATTTAAAAATTTATTTTTTTTACATTTTTTTTTGTAATTTTTCTGATGTTATGATGTTGTAGAACTTCAAAAATGTCCCTAGGCTGAAGTTCTAAACTCCATAACTCAACTTATCTAAATCGGATTTTGAAGTGGCATACCTCTAAATGTTTCTGGCCAAATTCTCTAAAAATGTGCATTCAAATTTAAAAATTTATTTTTTTTACATTTTTTTTTTGTAATTTTTCTGATGCTATGATGTTGTGGAAATTCAAAAATGTCCCAAGACTGAAGTTCTAAAGTCCATAACTCAACTTATCTTAATCGGATTTTGAAGTGACATACATCTAAATGTTTCTGGCGCAATTCTCTAAAAATCTGCATTCAAATTTAAAAATTTATTTTTTTTACATTTTTTTTGTAATTTTTCTGATGTATGATGTAGTAGATATTCAACAAATTAAAAAATGTCCCAAAGCTGAAGTCCTAAACTCCATAACTCAACTCATCTTAATCGGATTTTGAAGTGGCATACCTCTAAATGTTTGTGGCACCATTCCCTAAAAATTCTCTGCATTTAAATTTAGAAATCTAACACAAAACTCTAACTGCCACACTTTTAAAAAATGTGTGGGTTTTTTTTCATTTTATTACTTTATCCTCAGTTGCTACCGATATTCCAGAAATTGTTGAAATTTCTCGTTTGCACTTCCACTAGCCGAGTAACGGGTATCTGCTAGTCGGGGAACTCAATAAATTGGATAATTTAGATAACCAAAGCTGCAAAAGTGTAGCTCGTTCTGGCCCGTAAGGGGACTCCCCCGAGGAAGTCTCACCTGTTCCAGTATTTCTGGGATCCCTCGCAGTCCACATCGGATGCAAAGTGGCAGATGAAGGTGCGCTGGTCGAAGGCCGTGAAGTTGGCGCACAAAAAGTCGTGCCTTATGCCATAGACGCAGTGGTGGTAGATCTGCAACGAGTCCAACTCGGGTTAATCACATTTGGCCATAACTAATCCGCCCTGTTAGCCATCGCTTAGCGCTTCTTCTTGCCTGCTTTTGAGGTCAAGATCGAGGTGCAAACAAGTTTTAGTTTTCGGCGTCACGTCGCCAGTTGAAAAAGAGAAATTGCTGGCCAGGCGCAGAGGGATTGAGTTGGATTGGGTTGGGTTGCTTGGTCGCTTGGTTTGTCTAGGCATGATGACCAATTATGTTACGTCGTTGCTGCCCAGACAAGGTCACGCCGGCTCGCTCACCTGGCACTTGTACTCGATGGAGGCATAGAAGCCGTCGTGCAGCCCCTCGCACTTGAAGTGGATCTCGTCCATGGGCGGCACGGTGGACAGAAACGGATAGGTCGACAGGTTGTAGCTGTGCAAGAGAATAGGAAGGAAACTCTAAGAACGTTGATGGTAGATTTGTATAAGACACCAATCATTAACTTGGATGAGCGAAAAAGTCATTCCCATTAACGATTTTTAACTGTTAACCTTAGTTTTAACCTACAAAATATACAAAAATATTCCTCGAGGATTTTGAAACATTTCTTACCCTCTCAGTTCCCTGGGCAGATTGGGATCCCAGATGTAATCGATCTGTGGGATGCCGGTCAGCTTGGAGTTCTTCGACAGAGTGCCGTTGTCCGGCTGAAAAATGCATTTAAAGTCAGTGGCTGAGGCAATCTCTACCAGAAACCACCGTCTCACCTTGCTACTGTCGCCACCATCTCCGCTGGGCACTGGCTGCTCCTCCTCCACTTCCTCCTCCTCGACGGCCGTCGCTTCCGTCGTGGTGCTGGTGGAGGTGCTCGTGGAGGCGGGAGTCTTGGCAATGGACACCTTCTTGAAGGGCAGGGCGGCTTCTGTGGAGGCCAACAGGCTCAGCAGCAGCACTGCATCGAAAGGGAAACGAGATTTAAATTAATTAAAACTGCACAGTTGCCCCAAATTACATAACACATCAAGGATTGCCATTATGTCATGGTCCGGTCCGAACAGCAAGATTAAGTGGTTTTTTGAGTTGAGTTAAGTGTCCTTCGATCCGATTCAGTTGAACTCACCTGTTGCTGTCAGTAACAGCCAGCCTTTGGCTTTTTCCATCTTGAAGACTTCAGTTCTCTGGTGGTTTGGTAACTGAAATGAAAAAGTACAACATATTATGTATATTTCTGAGTTTCGGACACACCCACACACCTTTGCGGAAGATTAATGTTCACTCGAAGTCGTTGAACGCTTCTAAAGCTAACAGAAAATAAAAGAAATCAAATTGAGTTGTAAGCTCGAGGGTTCTGGATTGAATATTAGCTGGGCATTCAAATCACGTCCCATGATTAACGCTACTTTCCATGCTTGTCATTCAAGTCGGGAAGGGTCGATTCTATATTAAGAAGGGAACGCCTCATGCAGAAATGCATTCTATGGTTGTAGAAAGTGTTCCTGGCTGAACTTTTGTACTGCCAGTTTTGGCCAAAGAAAAGTAGTGAAATTTCACGGGAAGATATGATTTCAAACGCTTTTGAAGAAGTCTTTTTGAAGTCTAACGTATGCCAACAAACAACAGATATCAGATGAGTTGAAGTTGTCTCCTTGTTTCGAGGAATTCATTACTATTGTATATTTAATGAAGCGTTTAAGTTCGTAAGTTCCTAACGAAAAGGTATTGCAAAACCCATGATTCACCGCCCAAGTGCGGCTCCTCTTCTCCAGAAATCGATCAATTAGCTAATGCCATCACTGCAAATTTCGCGCACACACTAATTGTGCCCACTTTGATCAGCTTCACTTTCCGATTTCCGTCTCGGGTGTCGAATATTGCATAATTAGGTTTGGACGCCTTCAATGTCACTTCGGTGGGCTTTGGATTACGTAAGGAGAGCGATTGGTTGGGCGAAATTGGAAGGGTGGTGGTCAGCGCACTGGCAATAAATAAGTAAATACCTCGGCCACATAATAAACACAATGCATAACTATAACAAATTGAAAAGCGGGCGAGGGGAAAAAATACTTTCCTTTCCAATGCGTTTTTTCTCCGATAAATTAAATGCAAAACGTTGGCTTGGGGAAAAGATCATTGGAGCATTGTAATTTGGCAGTCGATAGTCGCAGTTGAATGCAATTTGCTTCTTCCAAAAGCCATTTTTATTGTGCATTGTTCGCGCCGAGTCTCCTTGGACTCGCACACGGGGCGTATACTTGATGGGCATTACGGATGGGCGAGGAAGCTCCTCCACCGCCTCCTGCTCCTCCTCCTCCTCCTCCCTCTCCTTCACCGCCTTTCTGCTTGGCATGGCACAATTTTGGAGCTCAATTTTAGTGGCCATAAGCTCAAAGATTTGCCGATCACACCCTGTTTTGGTGCTGTTGTTTAACCAAAAAGTGTGTCGTGCATTTTAAGTGGAGATTTGATTGGATTTGATGTCTTTCGGCCTGGCTTATTGACTGCTTGCCAGTCTGTTTGTGTCTCTCAGCTGGTTTGCACTTTTCGACATTTTGCCGACTGTGTGGGCCGAGTGCGGAGATAAATATCTGACTAAATATGATAATGGTTTTGCTTTTTACAGAGATAACAATTTTGTTGGAGGCGAGTGCGTCAACGAATGTCTCAGTCGAAATGTCAAAGGGTTCTTGAAAAGAGCACAAATGATTTAGATTGTACTTTTAGATTGTTTTGTGGGCGTTATGTGCTTTATTTAATTGTCGATTGTAATTGGCCTTTGAGGCTTGCTTTAACCTGGTTTTTAGCAGAAACATGCATTTTAAGGGTAAACAGTGTTCGAATCTAAATACCTCAGCCTTTTTTGAGTATGCCATGCCATAGAACCGCTGCCTGTCTGAAACCTCAGGTAATTTCTTAATCTGGCCAAAATATGGAAGCTTACCCTCAGGCCTACACATCCATCAACTTCTGTACACTTTTCCCATTAGTTTCAAGTATTGCCCAAAAGTTAAGGTCAGATCGGTGAACAGGTGCTTGGGGTTTCGGTGATAAATTGCCCTGTGCTAAACGAAATGAATTTATGGCTGCGTTTGTTTGTGGCCACATAATTCGCATTTAGTGCAGCGCATTGTTCGTTAATGAAATTTTAACTTATTAATTTCAGACGTCTAATCGTTTACGGCCCACGGAGAAATCGGAGAGGCGAGACAATAAATGATGTCTCGAAAAGTCGATGCCTAGCTGGTCTGATTGTCTTGGCCAAGTTCAAATTCAAGGCTAAGCACGATGACAAACACCGGTGAGTTGTTATTATTTTTGTAGCTGCCTTTGTTTCGGAACTAATTGATGAATCTTTGTGTTCGACTGCAGAAAATAACAAGCTTAAACGGAAACAATAAAAAAAGTCCAGATCTGGTTTAGGAAATTAGCTTTTAATTAGCCCAAAAGGCTTTTCAAAAAATGTATTCGACTTTGAATAGAACATTTGCATGAAATACCCATCGTAATGGCAAAAAACCGTTGTCGGCTTTTCCTTGAATCTTTGCAAATTTTTCCATCTGTTCGGAGATTCTCTGACTTTGAATGGTTGTTTTTTAGTTTTTGAAAACAATAAAAGGCACCTAGAACCAAAAGCCCCGAAGGTTTCGCTCCACGCAGACACAATGAGCAATTACATTTAAGTTTTATAATTTCATTTTATTGCCTTGTTGTTAGATGTTAGATGCACCATGGCCGCAAGCCAAATCGTCTGGAGGCAAACTCTCGATTTCGTTTACATCTCAATGCGTGCATATTTCGCCAATAAATTTGCTCGACGTCAACAACGAGTTTTGTGGTTCGAAATTTATAACCCAAGTCGTCGCAATCCGGTTGCACGATAGAAACAGAAGTAGGTTTTTTTACTCAGTCTGCCATCATCTCTCTTAGCCAGTTGCCAGTTACCAGCTGGCCAATACAAGTTGCTGGCTGTCATAAGAAATTAGCATCTTTATAGGATGTTATGAGAGCTCTGCTTTTGGGCACTTTCAAGGTCGTCGCTTTTTCTGTGGATTTTCGGTGCAGTGCATACTTCACAAGGCGATCGGTTTCATGGCTCTGAATGGTACGGAATGGTATTTGAAAATTTCGAATATGTGTGAATGATTTTACGGCTCACTTGGTTTTACGATTGCAATGCCTTAATAGTCGTTTAGTTTTATGAATTATTAATGGAATGGCCTGGGTTACTAGTTCACAGGAAGGGGAAGCTTATTCTTGAAGAGTTGATTCGAATCAACGGAGCATAAATTGTGTTAATTATTATGTGTTTAGACTATGACTAACGGAAATATTTTATTGTATTCCTAAGAAGGTTTTTTAATACTTCATATTCATGGCAACTAAAATTTATTGAAACAATCTGAATGGTATAACAACAATTCTGAGAAACGCCGAGTTTTGCTTATAAAGATCTGAATCGATTAAAGTTTGAGCAGTTCCTAGAAAAGTAAGGGAGTCATGACTTTACTTGTATTATTTATAATTTGTGGACTTTAGCGCATTGAATGTACTTGTTTTTTATATGACTTGCCTGGACAATTCGCTAGATACTATCCGAGGAAATTTCCGCTGTACCTAATTACTATTATTTCTTATATCTGTAACCCAAATCTGTGATGTACATGGGCGCCATTAGGAGCTTTTCTCGGCTTTTCTCCGCCTTTTTGCAGCGCACAGCATCTTCATGCCGCAGATTCGTTGGCAACAAGTGAAAACAGATTTTCCTTTTTTCTGCCACATACAAATCAAAATCAGTTTGTATTTGCTTTATTTTTTAGCTGCATTTTGTTTTGGTGTGCATTTAGTAAAGCTCTTCGTCAAATGGGTTTAATCGCCCATTCCGGTTGGCCAACTTTTCACTCTGACCTGAACATGGCCAAGAGTTCCCCAGTTCAGTTCCCACACGCACAGCCAAGTATTATTTAACTTCTACTCTGAGACAATTAGGCAATGCTAATTGCTAAGTTTCTTAAGTGTGGAAAACTGTGAGCGGTAGAAGAGTGCGAGGCGCAGAAATGGAGAGTGAAAAGCGCCAAATAACTGGATGAAAGTAAAATTTCAAAATTTCATTTGCTGCTTGTGGCTGCTGTGTGTTGGTGTGTGTGTGTGTGTTGTTTTTGTTGTTGTTGCTGTGGTTGCTGCTGATGATGAAAGTAAAATCTTGGCTCAGTTATGTTGGCCATATTCGCTTGTTGTTGTTCGGCGAAGATGCGCAAACCATTTGAGCGCCTCCTCACTCACACAAACACCAATAAAAATGGTAACTGCAAATTTCAGGGGGCTTATACGTGTATCTTTTGTGGCCAAAAGAGTTGTTGGGAGTGGGAGTGGGAGTGGGGGTGGGGGCGCATCTAACAATGTACAAGGCGCAGAGAAATAATTAGCAACGCCTGAGATCATTTTTGTACTTTTGTGTTGGCAAAACGCCTTTTTGGCCATGAGAGTTGGTAAACTTGCAGCACAGCAAGAAATAAGATTGTTGCAAGCGAAATACGTTTATTTTTCTTAAATATATTAGGACCCACTTTTCTAGTATATCAGGTATATTTTCAACATTCTTCAGATGCAATTCGCCTACAATAAAGTTGAAATACTACGCGGCACACGAAAACTCAAAGAGAAGATGCTCGAAAACGTCGAATTTAAATATTGTTGCATGGTGAATCAGCTAATGATTTCTTTCGGTGCAGCAGGAAGGGTGTTCAAATAGGTGTTTGGGGGGCCTCGAGGTGTTTGACTTGCAGATAAGCTCTGAAGAGCCCTCTAACAAGCGAATGCAAATGTTCAAACTTACCTCTTTTCAGTCGATCCAAATTTGTTGGGTGTAATCCACAAAAGGGTTTAAAGTTATTGCATTGGATTTCAATGCTTCTGTTGATTGTTTTCCAAATTTTTCAGCTGCTTGGATTGAATTTAACGCGTTTCTTAAATGAACAATAAAAATTGTAGCCCCATAAAAGTTGGCACTCACACAAACGCAAGCGCACGCAAAATCACACAAAGGCAAAATGCATTTATGTTTTTTCTATTGTGCACTGGTGTTAGTGCTGCACTTTTCCTTGTGTGTGATTGAGCCTGTGCTTGTGTTGGTGCACTTGTGGAAATTTTTATTGTTTTTTTTTGGCTGATTTTGTAACTGCCTTTGCGGTTATCTCTGTTTGAATTCAGCCATTAGCGATCTGTGATTTTCAGTGATTTTATGCACTATTTCGTTGTTGTTGGAACACTATAGCTATTTTGTAGCTTGATATGGGCATTTTGCATGGGATTCGTTCACTTGATTTTATATAATTTTTCCAGCTCTCTCACGCACAACGACACCCGTATATATACAGTGTGTTTATATGGATATACGATTGGTCACGCCCACTTACTTAGAGACCAGCTGTGCTGGCTGCCGTTCACCTGGCTGACCGCTTGCAGACTGAAATTGCAGATCGTATTGGCCAACTCGGAGTTGGCACAAAAATGGGAATTCGGCTGGCTTTGCGTTTGCCATTGCCTTTGCCACTGCCTTTGCCTTTGCTTTGCTTTTCCGTCGAAAGCTCATCCATCGCTCGCTAATTTTGGTCCGTCTGCGCCTCTGAAAACGGGTTTATTGCCGCTTCGATGCCGACTTTGCGCATGCGCAGCACGTTGTCCCCGAATGTTGGAGAGCCGACAGTCGAGACTCGGGAGCCCAGAGGCCCCACAAGAAATCCGGAGCGGATTGGCGCTGCTTGGAGCTACTGGAGAGCCGTACAGCTGTCTCTCTAGCCGAGCTTTGCTCGCCTCCGTCTCTGACTTTGTCCATTTTCCTCTGGCCAGCATTCTGCAATCGGATTGTCTTTGAATTTGTATTTATTTGTATTTTGCATTTGCGTGTGTCTTTGCCTTTGGCTTTGCTGACTTTGCTCTGCTTTTGGAGCGTGCTGCTCACTTGGCGGTTGTCCGATAATCGGGCTCAACAGGTTTATTGATTAAGATTGCTCAGACCTTTTTCTCGATTTGATTTCTTGCAAAATGTTGAAAAAATGTAACAGAAATTAATATGGGTCTATGGGAGCAGTTGGCGGAGGAGTGGTGCTATATTTAATGTAACTAGTAATAAATTAACTCGCATTTAGAAAAATCATTATAAAAATGGCAATACATAACATATTTATTGGATCGCAAACAATGATAATCGAAGTGGTTAAATGTCGTAGAAAATACCATTTTAATATATGGTGTCTTACCTACATTATATTTATTTCTACCATGGCTAATTAAGAAAACATATTTACTACCCTTGATCGCAGCATAAAAAGTTTAATTTTTGAAAAAACAGCCTATGTATTGGATATATACCAAACATAATAACCCATTCATTATTAGCTGCACTTTTACAATTTGTTACCTTTGATATATTTTTCCGCGCATGAGATTACTTAATAAATCGATCGTAATCCATTATCGATTGGCCAACAAATATGCCAGTGTGCACTGCTCATTTTCAGTGCCCTAATGCCTTGCTTTCTTTCATTTCCTCAACTACCGTGGTGACCGCAATGACATAATGTTAACAATAATACGGCCAAATTACGGTTACGGTTCAATTAATGAACCGCGTTGGCCCAAACGAGCTGAAGCCATCTGCCAACGCATTAGTCACAAAAATACAGGCCCTCAGACTCGGCTCAGACCACAATAGTAAATAAACAAAAATTGTTTAAACGCCTCATGAATTATTGCGCATACGCCGCGTGGTCCGCTCGTTCGAGTGCCTCGCTTCGTTTGGCAATTAAATGCTGGCCGCGGCACTTGGTCAAGACTGCACTTCGAGCGGGATGTGGATTTTCATTGACCGAAAACCACAGATCGAAATTCATTATTCGCTGCGAATGCAAAATAATGCAAAACACTTCGCGGCTCTCCTCATAATGGAATCAATCAAGCTCCGTTCACCGCGGCGCATGGTATGTGTATGTCTGAGCCGCTTTATTACGTCACTAAGTACTGCAGCTTTGGCTTAGAGTACACTGCGAGCAATTGCGAGTGGCGAGTTGAGAGAATGTTCATGCCGCGTTATATTGGTTAAAGTTTTCAACTAGCAATAACCGCACCTCAGGAGGACTTCATTGGTTACGGTATTGCCACTGCGCAAAGATGCCTTTGGAATCTCTTACCCAATTAATTTTCCTAATCCCCAGATTTTCTAAATTCCTTCCTATTAATTACTTACCTTCCCAGTGCTGGAACCTTACAGGGCTATATAAATATTTTCAGTAAATAAAATATTTTCAGGAAAGAACATTTTTCCCTGTGCAGTGGCAGTAGCAGCAGCTTGATAGCAATAATGCTGCACTGCATCTGCGCTCGTTCCGCTTGTGAAAGTTGAATTTGAGCCCGGCTCAAGCGAACTGAACTCCACTTGGCCCGTCTGGGTATTCAAATTGGAATAGAGCCAGGCTCAGTTCGGCTTGGAATAAGTATCTGTATCTGCATATGTATCTGTATCTGTATCGGTATCGGCATTCGTAAGTGTATCTGTAGCACGCGGAATTGTCGAGTGCTTTATCGCCAGCGGCGTGTGCCTTGTGCCTCACATCTCACAGCTAGTTACGCTAAAGTATCTGTATCTGTCCCTGTATCTGTATCTGTGTGAGAATGGGAGCACCGTGTCGCCGGCTGTTTGCGTGTATGTGTGGAGTTGTGTGGGTCGAACTGTTTGTTGAACCGGTATTCCGCATTTGTTGCAGGTAGCACTCACCAGCAACAACGATATCACAACGTGTTGTAACTACTACTTAACTGGTCCGCAAACCACCAACAACAAGCCATCGATCAATAGATCCATAGCCCACTGATAACAATTCCATTTCGACAAAATTGCACTTGTTCGGAAGGGGTGGTCCGTGATAACTATAAGCTATTAACTATTAAGTACAAATTCATGTTTCCCCTATATCAATAGGTTGGGAATATAATTGTTGCAGGTCCACTTAAGCTGTTGTATTTTTACCAAAACCTCGGAGTATAACGATTTTTTAGTACCTGTGTGCAATATGTTATTGAATTTTGTTGCTTGGGAATTCTGCAATTTGCAATTATAATTCACAGAGCAATAAAAATCCAGAAGTGGAAAACTGAATGAAAAAGCAATTAAAATAAATAAACACACATTACGGAAAAGGTCTTACTTTAAGGCTTTCAATTCATCGCTTCTGCTTTGTGGTTTCATTTCAAGGAGCATAAATAAGCACTCTGAAGAACTCTTTAAAAAGGCCATTAGGGTTTCAGTTTATATGGCACTTCCTTAAGTGGCACTTCTGCAATGGAAGTATATTGTGGCAACTTCTTGCGGTTCTGTTTGTAATTAGCCCAAATTCATGAAAACCCAACCCAAAACCGAGTTTGAGTCATTCTTATTTGCTTGCCCAACAGAATCGAATGTAATGAACGATTTTGATACCTTATTGTGCTCGCTCAACAAAAAAAGCAGTTCAACTTGTTTTTACAGCTCCTTATTGTTATTGTTTACTACATATAAAGATTGTGTTTACCCTGCAGCTTTTGCTTTTATTTTTCCTTAGTTTTGTTTTGTATTTTCCGTTGTTAAATGCAACTGGTTCGATTTTACATTCTCTTGACGGGAGCCTTGGATTGTGGCTGCCTGAATTGAATTGCAATTCCGCGAACCAGCCAGCGATTCAGCTGTGAGATTGACCTTGACAGGTGGGTTCACTCCAGTCGCTTAGAGGATGAAAAAGTTCACCACGAAGCGAAACACCTTGCTCAGCGTGCTATTCGATTCGGGTCTATCGGGGGATTCCTCTCTCAGCTCGGCGCCTTCCACCAGATGGGCATCCAGTTCGGCCTCCAACTCCGCTCCATATCGCAGTATGTACCACTCGGCCAGGAAGTAGATGACCAGCGTGATCAGTGCAAACTTGAGGTATATCTTAAAAATGTCGAGTATGTGGAGGAGCAGCTGATGCAGCAGCTCCATTAGATCCATTATAGCGGCCACGTTGCGTATACTTCATGCAAAACTTTGGCTCTATCTTCGGCGTGTTCGGGGCTCGGAGTTTTGCGATTTCCGAAATGAGGTCTTTTGTGGTTGTTTGGTTGCTGTTTGATGTGTTAGCCCTATTATGCAATCGCTAGTCCGAACTTATCGAGCTGATGATGCACATTTCGCTTTCGGCCGCTTGACTGATGTCGCCTCATTTGCATGTGATCGCGTTAATGATCGCGGACAAAAGTGCGTGTATTTTTCGGTAGATATATCTCTCAATGGTCAGCCATTGGGCAGGCGCCTTGATTATGCTAATTTGTTTTGGGGCAGCGGGCCTTTCTTTCTCCTTTCTTCGCCGTTGTCTCGGACCCCTAAAATGGCCTCCTGTAAATACAAATTTCGTTTTAATTTGATTGAAAATTAATTTGATACACACACAAAGCTGAGCGGAGGGCAAACAAATTGGATTGCGAAAAAGTGGTCCAAAAATGGGAGCCTAGGCGGGATCGTCATGGGATCGTATGGAGATTTCATGCTTGGGGCAGGTCGGATTACTTAATTAGCATGGAAAATGATTTTTTGGCTAGATTGAATATTAAGATGGAGCTAGATAAATGTGTTGGCTGGGAAACCAGATCGAATTTGTCAGGCTAAACCTTGGATTTTGGGCATAGATGTTGTAATAAGCCATAAATTATAAGGGAAAGACAGAATAATAGGAAAAGTAGTGGAGTTCATGAATAAAACAATTTACAAATAGAGAGACATCATGGAATGAAAAATAGTATGGTAAATAGAAATGCCTCTTTACCATTTTTGAAATATAAAACCGTCTGCACATTAATTTCATTTTTTCCTATGTGTTCCTATGTGTATATATTTCTCGCAGAAAAAAACAACAACCATTAACAACCATTAAATGATTGAAATGATAATCTCCCAAAAATAAACATATTGAACATGTTCGGCAAAGCGTTGGCCTCATAAAAAGAAATCAATCAAATGGTGGAAGTAATCAAAGCCAAAGAAATAATCAAGTTCAATTCACTTCACCTCCTTTCTGGCCCTGATAATGAACGAATTATCGTGCTTTAAATCATTAAGAGTTTTGAATAGTTCAAAGATCGGGCAAAATTGGCAGCCACTTAAACCCCAATTGACCCCGTTTGCATGTTTTGAAACTGCTCATAAACCTAAGGATCTGCTATAAATGGCCACCACTTCATCTGCCAATTGGCCATCATGATCGTTATTAGATTGAAGTTACCCCCTTCCTTGGAGACTACGCCCCTGCCAACTGCCATTCGTCAGCGGCAGATCGACAATTTCGAGAGGAGCCAAGTCAAAACTGGCCGGAGATTGCAGCTTTTGGATTTGAATACACTTGACAATCGCTAAACGCAAACCGACTTAACCTTAGCCAAGACGAGATGTTCAAAAACCCAGTGGGGGGAAGGAGTCGAAGGAGCAGTCTCCTCTTCGGCAACTCGATAATAGCAGCCATTATACTAAGCACACAAATCAACTTCAACTTGGAGGAGACCCGTTCGAAAGACGTCTCGCTGCTGGAGCACTGGGAAAACGAGGCGCAACGAAATGTTTTGCATTAATTTCGAAACGCATGCGAAACAGACGCAACATATTTATAAGACAGGAAAAAAACGCAAACTGCATTGGGCAGAAAAAAGAAAACCAGTTGCAAATATGGCATACAAAGTGGATAGCCTTCGTTTCTGGGAAGGATTTCGATCTGCCCAGCCGATTGGCACATGCCCGGCCTGACCTGTCGCATCAGCAGAGTCTCGAGAAGATTCGCCGCCAAAGTGGGCAAGAAGATTTCGCAGAAGCCACCTCTCCACATCCGTCGGAGGCGATGACTTGGATCTGAAGCGGTGTGTTGGCTGCTGCGTGGATCTACCGGTTTTTCGAGATCAGACCCAGACGCCTTGAAAGACCTTCTGACATTTGCGAATTGTGTACGCGGATCGCTTTGGACACTGGTCACTCGGGAATGCCCTTTCGAAGTAACATGAATCAGTGCATCATAAATGTTTGTTATTTAAAAAGCAGCTTTTTTGATTGGCCAATTAATGTTGGTACTGTCTATGATCAATGTGGGATTTTAAACAATCCGATGTGAAAACATTTATATGTTTGTTTAATAGCTTTCCGTGTCCTAATGCAATATATTTGTGGAAGAGCATTTACATTTCGTGTAAAATACAGCATCCCTTCTGGTAAATGAATTGAATTTGCGCAATTTATTGAAGACATTTTCAACATCATGAAGTCGGGTTAATTAAATAATTTCTCGTTTTGCCCGCCTTCGTATATTTTGCATGAAATTCGCGTCACATTGTAAATTATTTAGTTGCATATTAATTAGTGGACACTTCCAGCAAACCGTAACAAAGCAACAACAAGAGAAGCCAAATATTGTTTAAGCCACTTGCATAATGCAAATGGTGTTAACTTGACTCCAGTTACCAGTTCATCGTTGCCTTTTTTCTACGTTGTTTTTGTTTTGTTTGTTGGCCAGCCCATTAAAAAACGTGAACCGAAATGTGGGGAAAAACAAATGTGGGTGAACGGTCAAGAAAAGTAACATTTTGTGATTTATAATTCCCAGCAACCGAGCAACCGAGGGGCGCACAGAAATCGGTGTCACACTTTGCCCCTCTTTCGGTTAATGACTGAAATTGAAATAGACTTTTAATTAGGCTTCTCGGATTTGGAATCGGCGTTTTGAAATCTGTTTTCTGTAGACGCGTTATTTCCGCATCAGTTGAAGCGGCCTACTTCTTATGCACGTACGACAGTCATTGCGTGGGGTACCACAAGTACCTATATGTGTATATATAACATATATAATTGCCGCGATTATTTTGCCTCTCTGTACGCGGAAATGAAGCCTCAATTCCCGTTGTGGCACACAAACTGAAAACTTGAACTACTTCTTCGATTCGAGCTCTCTGTCTTCCACTTATTTAAATTCGGCTGGGCGATCATGGAATGGGTTAAGATTGAATGAAGTGTTACACTACGCATTGCATTACTCAAGTTTTCAACACCTTTTTGTCTATATTTTGCATGTTTTTCTATGTCTTACATTTTGTTTTAATAAATATACACTATTGTGTAAGGTTGCGATTATTACCTGACTAACTTGAGATCGCTAAATAGTTCTATAACATAAGCCTGTACGCATATCCATTCTTACACTCAGAAAAGCATTCAAAATATGATAAGTACCTACCCACCTATCTCAGAAGATCTGTTATTATCCCAACACCCACATTTCCTATGAGACCTTTGCCGGGGATGCTAATCCGGTGAAGGGCGATTAGCTAACTTATTATGTATGTAAGTCTACTAACCATTGTCTGCTTCCTTTTCCCATTTCAACGTCACAGTGAACATTCACCAGCCATTTAGGCCGCGTTTGTGTACATTTCCCCAATTTTCGGCTGTTCGTACTGCCATTGTAGTTGGAAGGCGGACAAAGCCTTTATCAAAAGATCATTTGCGGTGCGCCGAACTCACCGCATTATTTATCCATTGCTCAGTTTAATCGTCTTATCAAGTCAGTAAACAATATAAAACACAAACGGACGCAGCACATACAAATATTTTCTGGCAATTTTTGAGCTTCTTCTTTTTAGACGGATCGAAAGCTATATACCATATGGCTTCCAGCTGATTGCAGTCAAGTTGAGCTTTAAGAAGATTTCGTGTGCGAGTGAGACAACTGGAAGTCATTTATGGGATCGCAGAAAGCTTTCCTTTGAAGCTTGGATGCTCCATTTGAATATATAAATTGAGCCCAAAACTACATATTTCCTTAATAATTTCCCATTGATATTTTAAATATTTCAAATCAGTTTTCCCAGCTTCTCGACTGCCTGCTTGTTTTTTACTTTAACGAACTAAAGCAAAGTTGTTTGAAGCTCCACTGCATCTTGTAGCAAACAGCTCTTTTCTGTGCTAAAGCTCTTTAAGGCCGTATTTTCTGCTTTTGATAGCATTTCCCTTTGATCTTAGTCAGCAATTTATGTAAATGTTTATTTATGTTTTCGATGTTCTTACTCTGAGAATTTTGCAATGATAAACACCTTAGGAAACAATTATCTATAAAACCTTCTTTATAAAGTAGTACATTAGTTTTCTTCAAATCATTCTTGCATTTCTTTCATAAAGAAATTAAAGTTTTTCCGAGTTCAATTTCGCTTCCTGTAAGGCAACCCATTCCTCCAAGTATGGATATATATACCACTTGGCTACGGCATTTAACAAAACAACTCCAATCCTCGTCAGCGGTTGATTGATGAGCACCAACTTGAAAAGCAAGAAAGCCCATACAGAAAAATCGGGCAAGAGCAGGAAATATAGAATAACATCTATAGCCAGCATATAGAACATCATTTTGAAAAGTCGTATTATGCAGACCACTGGAAAGAAGGGAACTTTGATTTTAAATAAACATAGCTTTATATGTATGTGCTCTTCGTACTTACCGCAAAGAATAAAATAAACAATACGATGCGGCTCAGAAAGATGAGGTTACTTTGAAAATTGAATTTGTAATCGGTATCGAAAGCTCCAAAATCTATACTCAGATGAGCTAAAGCTTGGTGCAAGTGACCGAAAAAGTTGTTATGCAGATCAACCTATGAATGAAGCATGAAGTTAAAGATACGAATTGAAATGCAATGCAAAAATATTCAAGTTTCCTATCATTTATTTATTTGCTTGTAAACAATTTTAAATTTTTTTGTACTCCACTGTTTAACTGACCAAATCTAAAAGAACGTCTTGGTTTTCTTAAGAGAGCTGTTTATGCCCGCAAGAAAGTGAAAATAATATTATATAATATAATTGGATTTTTCTACTGCCCTATGAAAGGTTTAATTAAAGTAACAACCGTCGTTGTTTTCAACGATTTTCTCTTCAAATTCAAAATCTTGAGCGCTCGCATTCAAAAGCTAACCGATTTTCCATCCATCTGAACTGCTTTACACTAAACCTTTAAGCTTGATTTAAAAACACTGAACAAAAAATCGGATACTTTTTAAGATGTATTTTTATTTTGCTTTTGTGCACATCACAAGCAATACTTTTCTTTACAAATTTAAATGAAAGAGGGTGTGTGTATTTAACAATGAAGGGTATGTGTTTATACTTTAACATATATATACAACGGGTAAATTTTGGGTAACATTCAAAACTTTTAGATGGAAGGGCGCCAATTAGGTTTGTATTTGTGTGACAACAACATCGAGAACAACGAGTATAAAGCTATTTTCACTCATTCGATGGCCTCGATTATTTCATATTCTTCATCCAAAGAATGATCATAATCGATATTGTATTTGTTCTTGATCTTGCTCTTATAATCCTTGAGCTCCGCGTCGTTTTCGAACTTATTCGTATTATATCGCTGTTTGCCTCGTGAGCTGTTGCTGTTGCTGTTGTTCTTCTTGCCGGATTGAGGGGTATTGTGAGTGCGGTTCCTAGATCTAGTTTGGTTGCTTTCCCTATCTCTATGGTTTACGCTACTAGGCTTTGATTTTCTTTCGCTATTTTTACTAGAATTGTGTTGCTTCTGCTGTTGCTTGTGTTGTTGTTGCTGCTGCTGCTGTGATGATGAGTATGACGATTGAGGATTGGTACTTGGTGTGGTAAATCTCATGCTACCTCTAAAGCTATTTTTGGTCATTTTACTGTAGTTGCTGCTATCTACGATTCTATTGCTGCTGTTGATTCCGCCGATTGCCGTGTTGCTGTTGAGTGCTTGATGTTGCTGCTGCTGTTGCTTTTGAAATTGCCGCTGTCTTCCGCCGCGCTGTCTGGTTCCGTTTGCTGTCCCAATCTTATACTCATCATCGGCCTCATATCATACTTCATTCGGCTGCTGCTGGCGCTCTGGGATGCGATACAGCTCGTCGTTGTTCTGGTAGAGTTGCTCCGATCCCTCGCAGTTCACATTCGACCACCAGTCGCAGACCCTGACGGCCTGGTTGAATACGGTTCCATTGGGACAGAGGAAGGAGTACTGATGGCCGGAGTGGAGGCACCAGTGCCAAACCTATGTATGATTCATTTTATATAGTTTATATATCTACAGAGTCTTATTGGAACTCACCTGACAACGCGTCTCTGTATCCGCATAGTAACCCGGCTGGCGACCCTGGCAATTGAAGGCTAGACCCTTTGGCACGGAGTCGTAGGCGGGGTAATCCTCACCAGCAGTGTAGCCATCGATTTGCTAAGAAACATGACAATAGGGTTAATTAATTAGGATTATTTGGGAAATGAATATTTAACTCTAAACTGGGTTATGAAGTTCCGCTAATGTCTACGAGTTTCTATAACTTGTTCGCATACTGGGCCTCTTTTAAAAGCAATAATAAGATATATCAGTGAAATTCAACTCTTCACACCTTAAGCCCCATTTCGAAACACTTAAAATGCAGTAAATAGAATAAAAAATAATGGTATTAAAAGTAATTCCCTCGCACACCAGATATGGTATAAAATTATGACTCTGCGGATCGTTCGTGTGAATTATCTCAGCGCAGGCAGCGCAGCGACCTTCAGTTGTGGGTGGCAGCATGGGTGGTGGTGGCACATGTGGCACATGTGGCTGGCAAACATTGCCCAAGCGCAGCAACAAAATGAACTCTAAACAATAACAAATTACAATTTAAAACAATTGCCACACAAACCGAAATTTAAAATGCAAATGCAATAGCCGAAAAAACATGCTGTCGAAAAAACCAACAAAAGAACCAGCGAGTGTTGAAAATTGTGCACTTGCAACAGTTGCAAGTAATTGGGGGCGCAAACAGAGGGGGGAGGCCATGTGACAACCGACTGTCAATCTCATGCGTAGGAAACCATGAAAAGCCGAAAAGAGCAAAATAAAACAATAAAACTTCGGCGGCTTCAACACGGATCACAACACACCACGTATCGAAGCTGGAAGAGATGTGATTCTTTTGTGTCGATCTCACTGGGGAACCATCCATCTGGGCCAAGCATCACAAGCATCCATTGGTTCCAGCCTCATTTGAGCGCCACTGTGTTGCATCTTCGTTGGCTGTCTATCTTGATCTTGCCTCGATTTCTTATCCCATTGTTGCCGCTGTTGCGCTCGAATAAATCTCTCTCCCTTTTCAGGGGGTTAAAGTTGCCGCCGTTGGCGCTTGTCTATTTGGGTTAATGCTGAGTTTATGCTAATTGAATACGTTGGGACAGGGCAAAGTGATTGGCAATGTGCAGCACATTGATGGGGTGGGAAAAAGGCTGAGCAGCAGGGGGTTTCTTCATGGGAAAAGTTTGGGAGCTTATGGGCAATTCAATAACATCATAATCAAGGATCTTACGGAGCTTTAAGCAAACAGATATCACTTCAGATACATACTTTTCAACGTAAAAGGTATTGGTTTTTTATTGCACGTCATCTGGTTACCACATACCCAATAAAATCAGTGCCAGTTTTGCCCTCTTCTTTGGAAATAAATGTGTGTTAATAAGGTACATTTTACATCAACAAAAACAATGCTAAACAAATATAAACTTGTTTTCCGGAGTGCAATTGCAACCAGGATGCACCTTCCACTCCAGTCTCATTTCGATTGCATTGCAAATTCGAGCTGCCTCGTTGTTCGGCTTAACTTTTCTCAATCACTTGCAATTTTCACGCTAATAACTTTCCAGGGGCTTTTAGCATTTCCAGCGGCAACAAAAGACTTAAACAACAAACTATATGGACCGCCCATTGCCTTACTAACCCAAAAAGCGTACAAGATGCCACTCTAGACAAAAGCCCTGCACACCATCAATTATTCCCCTCCACTCTCAACCTTTGGCCAGAGCAGAGACCAGACCAGACCGTTTTCCTTTAAATACCAACCCGCTAAGCCAGCCGAGATGGGCCACGGCAGTTACAGCTGGAAAATGCTTAATTTTCCCTGCATTTTCCTTTTATTTCTGTTTGGCGAGCGCGCGGCTGAGGGGCCACCAAGGCTAATTGATAATGCAACACAGCGGGGTGCTTCAAATGGTGGAAAGCGAATGTTGTTTCCCCTTTTTTTAGGCTCCCTGACTATGATGCACTTAAAAATTGCTTTTTATATGAGTCAATATTAGTGCTGAGGACAAGTTAAAAAATGCAAGTTGCTACCAAGCTTAACTTGATACATATACGAGTAGTAGTTCTAACAAGAAGTTAATATTGAGGTATACTTTTCTGTGGCTGAATAAGCTGATTTAGAAAACAGTCAATCCCTTCTAAAGGATCAGTAAATGTATTAGAATATGCCCCATAGTTAGTGTATATAAATTCGGGAAGCAAAAACCTCATGACGACACCTTTTTAGAAAGAGGCGTCCCCTGTTTTAAGCCAGCTTCAGCTTCCCCTTTCTCTGTGTGTTTCTGGCTAAGACGTGAGAAGTTGTCTAACAATTTGGCAGACAGGTTGTCTGCATCGTGTGTTAGCTACTCTTCCCCTTTGGAGCCCCCAATCTACTGCAGCTTCTTCTGGCTCTTTGGCCTCTTCTTGCAAAATAGCATGCTGCATGAAAAGAAGATGGCCAGAAGGGTGAAAGGGGGCCGCAGGCGTTTTTGGGCTGTTTTTTAGAGGCAACAATTGTAATTGTTGCTAGTGTTGCTGGAGTTGTTAGTGTTGCTTGTGTGGCTGTTGTTGCTGCTGTTGCCGTGGCTGCAACTTTGCGTGGGAGTTTGTTGTTGCTGGCGTGCCGTTGTTGTTGCTGGTTAAGATCCCTATCAAACAAGAGACAAATGGTGTGCGCAATCTTTTTACTCGAAATGAATGTAGGAAATTATCTCAGATGACACTTTTTTGTGTGCTGCTGCTGCTGCTGTTGCTCATGTTGATACAGCAGCGATGCAGACAAATGGGAACAGACGCGGCCAATGAAGTTGTCAAATCAATGTTGGCCAAATTATTCAATAAGCCATTTCCCAAGCTCATAAAAGGCCCATGGTAAAATAGCTGTTTTCCATGATTGCGGTCCATAAAAACGATTCAAAAGGCGAAGGGGCTTTTGTGGCGTTTTGCTCTTTTGGGTTTTCGATTTCAGATTTCGGGATCGGGAAGAAGACGACTCCACTTACCCCATTGACACAGTTCCCTGCCAGCATCGAAAACAGTCCGAACACGACTATCATAATGCAGGCGCTCCACTGAAGATGCTGCTGCCGTCTGTGTTGCTGCTGCGGTGATTTGTTCGCTGCTGTTGTGGTGGCTGCCATGATGTCTGTTGCTTTTTGGGTTTTTTTGTAATTTTTTTGGTAATCCGTAATTTAAATGTGATTTTTTCCTATCTAAAAGATACAAAACGAAAATCGAAAGAAAACGAGTCGAGTGGGTTGATGATATTAATTTTCTGCGCGCAGCATAATTTTCGTCGGAATTTTAGAAAGGAAACATCTTCTCTTTCTTGGTTTATGCGGCATATAATTAGATTTTATTAGTTATCTAAATGCTTGCTATAGTCTGCCGAGAGCAGGTAACCACAATTGCTAATGGATAATCGAGTATTGCTGACGGCGATGTTGCAGCTGCTGCCGGTTGCATTCACTTTTTGTGCCCGCGGATTGTGTGCTTCTAATAGATTTTAATTGATAGTAACTAGAGTTAACGATATTGCGTTGGATTCTTGTTTAACACATTGTTCGTCGTAATTTGGTTATTTCAGTACACGCTTTTTATAGATTAACATAAAGAGGCTGCCTTTTCAATCTCTTCACCTTATGGCATTGTTTAAAAATGTAATGAAAATTAGATTTTAGTTGTTAAAAAGATGTATTTTATATGTTAAATTTTAATTGAAAAGTATCTAACTTTTAGTTATCAACATTTATCTGTTGTTAAAAAAAATAAAGCAGTCAAAGTTTTCAATTCCGTAATCCACTAGATGCGAAAGCAAAATTCAATCCTTATAACCTCTTAGGCATTCCACAATTCTAGACCTACAAGAAACACTTTATATGAATGTCTTTCTTTTTATTAACCTCTTTATGCTTATGTTTCCTAATCGAAAATAACTCCATACTCAAACAATTTGTAATTAATGTTCCCAATCCTTTAGAACTACAACCGAGTGTTGCAAGAGCTGAATAGTATTTATCCGTTCCTAAGGATGTTTTCTCGTTTGCTTCCCCTCCTGGGAACTAATTTGCGCAATTGATTGCTCAACTCCCAACACTATTTGAATGCCACGCACTTTGCCGCGCTAATAAAACACACGCCGCAATTTATTACAGATCCGATCGAGCCGTATCGTATCGTATGGAATCGGACTCACTTCGTTTCGAACGGAGGAGCAAGCGCTGGGGCTCTGCACGTGTTGCCGCGTTTGAAGTTGATGCAAAAGTTGTAAAAAATTCGCATCAATTTTAGTTTTATACTCAAGAGCAGAGCGCTGGCTCGTCGGACTCTCTGCAGATGAGCGAGGCTGCCAGCGGCTAAATCCACCTCGTCATCGTTGGAATTGCCAAAGAGCAACATCATCGCAGAGACGAGGCTGGAAAAACTAAATCATCGTGTCTATTGATGCCTCGCTCGGCTGGTCGGCTCTTCAAATCGCAGTTATTCTCTCATTCATGAGTGCGGGGGATTTTTTGTGGACACCATACATAAAAAAAGCGCGGTCGGCTTTTGTTTTGCTTTCGCGGTTTGTTGACGTTTGCCTGGCTCTGTCGCAAAGCTGCGAAAAATTAGTGCACATTTCGGCTTATTTGTGATGTCTTTCGGCCATCTTCATAGCGACTCGATTTAATTGTCGCGCTTAGTGCGAAATTTTCCTTCATAAGCGACCGATAATCAAAAGACTTAGGCAACGAACTCGATTGGCATTGTTGAGCAAAAAATTAAAAACATGCATAATTTTTAAAAAATTTTTAATATTTATATATATTTTACAAATACATATTTTCTTAACATTAAACCCAGTCAAATAGTGCTATCATAATTTTTTACAAAGTTCGTTTAAAAAGATAAATATTGTTGTTATAATTTCCATCCAAGTACTAGAGACTTCTTGCTGTTTTTAAATTGACCAGTTATAAATTAAACATTGTCCAGAACTTGTAATCTCATGGGCATGTTGCCTAAGAGATTCCGGCATGTTATTCCGCCAACTGACAGCATTTAATTTCGATCTGCGAAAAATTATCATAAATAAGACTAATTAAAATAAGATGCTGTAATAAATTTCCATCGCTGCCGTTAGCAAGACACATCCATTTGCTCTAGAATTGATGCCGTCCCAGCCGCTGAGCCGAGCCGCTCACTTTCAAAAGATGTGCACGGTGGCAATCCGGTTCATTGAGTGCGCTTCAATTGCTGAGACATCGACGGAGTCTCAAGACCTGGGACCCCGAGATGTGGCTGCTACATTCTGGTTCACCTTCGAGAAAAGCAAGGCATTTGCAGACGTCAGGCATTGCCAAACGTCTTTCGTGGCTTAGTTTTTGGTTTTGTGAGCGAGTTTCGGCGTTTGGATTGTGTGAGAAATTCCCTTAATCAGCGCCAGTTGCACTGCACCAGGCTACTAAAAATGGACAAGCGTTGTCCAATGGATTTCATGAAAATATCTTATTAACCTGCTAAGCAGGTTTCGTTTCCCAATTGAATTTCGGGTAATTGAGAGTTAATCGATCGGAGTAGAAGTGTTTTCCTAGCACCCACAATTAATTTCCAATGATTTCACACGCCGAGCCGGCGACCTTGACTTTTACCCATTTGAAGGTCTATGGTAGTCATCATCATCAGCGTTGGCGGTAAAGCTTCTTCATTTGAAAATTGTTTAATACGCGACGAAAACAATGATCGAGTAATTATGTGCCTTATAAATGTCGGCTTCCCGTCCCCGTAAATGTTATGATATGACAGTAAACGCATTTTTCTCTTAGGTTTTCCGTTTCCATTCTGTTGTCAGTTTTAATGGGCCTAATGCGGTAATTTATTAAATTAGTTTAGAAATGTTTTTTAATGCGCCAGCGAAGAGGCATCTTTTATGTGGAGAATTGGATTACGTTTGATGGCATTACATCAGGGTCAGCGGGGGCTGACCTCTAACTGATCGGATTTTAACCACAAGTTGTTTATTGCTTGTGGTTTAGATCAATGGAGCATTAGAGCAGTACTCTTAATTTTCGATTTTTGGGGAGCATTAATTATTCCTTAATGAAAAGTGATTGAATAGTAATATGCCTTCCATTTACTGCTAGTCAACTTGGTAATGTATTATGCTAGTCAAAAACTGTATATGTACACTTTTAAAGTCTTTTAAGTGCTTTGACTCGTGGGAATACATTCAAAAGTTCCAAAAATTGTAAGTCGTGCATATTATGAACATACTTATTAGGAAATTAATTCCATTCAAAGGGGGCACATCTATCAACCAACTTCACCCGAGTTAGCCAAGTAGTTCAAGGCTGTGAAAGACTGCATCCTCCCGGCCAGTTCATTCATCACCTTGTTCCTCCTCAGCATCATTTGTCAATTGCAGTTCTTTGGCTGTAACGAAACATCCCCCACCTTCCAACAACCGATGTAAAAATACTGACAAACAGACCGCAAACATTTGGATAAACGCATTAAGTTCTCATTGTTCTGGTTTGGAGTTCGCTGCTCCCCGCCAAAAACAAAAAAAAAATAGAAAAAAGAATAACTGAATTCTCTGCCATTGCACAAAAACAATACAGTTCGGTTTCGGGTTGTTCTCCTTTTTTATGACTTTGGACCGACTTGATTATTGTGCAAATAAAAATTCTAATGACGATTTCGGCAACAACAATGCAATTATGCAAAGCCAGAAGAGGAAGGTAATTAAAGGCAGAACACCAAAAGCAGCAGAAGTCGGAGGAATGATAATTATCACGGCGCTGCAATCAACAATGAATATGCTAAACAGTCCAAGTTTCAAGTCGAACGGAGGAGAACATCCTATGGAGCCATTCCACATCCCACAACCCACATGGCACATGCCACATCCGCCAGAAGCCGAAATAAACAGAAAAATTACAAAAAAAAATTAAAGAAGAGCTCCGCCATGATCTATCATCATCACCAGGCCAGTCTTTGTCTCGGATTTGCGCAACTCCACCCCTTCCTTCCTTGGCACTCTCCAAATACCCAAATACCATACATCATCTAAGCCGAAAGCTAAAAGCTAAAAGGTTTCACTCCACCACAAATTGTGGCAAATTGTCGATGGGTTTTGTAATCAAACCATTGAATTGTTTTGCTTAACAGAGTGCAGAATCTGCCGCATATGGGTCAAAATCAAATTTGCCTTTGTTTTGCGAAATTGTTTTGTCACTTCCAGATTAGTTGAGTGCATTTGGCCCCGATTGAGTTACCCAATGTTAAGTGATATTTTTCCCACTTATTTGCCAGTCATTCGATCAAGTGACTTGATTTTAATAAATATGCTTTTTTTTATTTACAGGTATTTGTCAATTTTTTTATAAATTCCACGTGACAAATTTGCATTTGCGAAATAGGTAAATAAAGTGAAACTAGGTTACAAAGCTGCTCCAATTAAAACTTGGGTGATTTTAGAAAGATGAAAAATTACTCAGTTATTTGTTTATTAATTAATAAGTTGTTCTTGTCGTAGTTCACAAATTGTTAAAAAAAATACAAGCAGAATGAGATTTCCAAAATGAAATATAGCTCAACTTAGTTCAAGGAAAGGGGCAAAATATTAACTTGAATAAACGTTTGATGAGTGACTGACAGTCATAAATCCTAAAAACCATTTGCACTTTATGATTTTTAAGAATCCTAGACATCTCTGTCGGTTCTTCAGCCGGCCCATCAATTTCAGCGCCATTCAGTTATAATTTACAACTGCCATTAGTCAATTCCAAAAAAAAGCCAGGAGAATGCCAAGAAATACTGATTGAATTGCCATTTGATGTTGATCAAAATTATTCACCAGCAAAGTGACAAGAAATACTCAAAAATTCAGCTCGCAGCCAAGCGAAGAGAAGCTGAAATAGAAAAACCAATTACCACAACGTTAGCAATTGCTGCTGGAGATGATTGAAGCCAATGGAAGATCCATTCAAAAATATAAAAGAAACTGACTAGAAGGCCAAAAGCATCTGAACCCAGCCTGATCGGATTGCAAAGTTCACAGTGGATGATGATGATGCTGATAGACAGCGCTTTGGGGGAAATTTCATGCAGAAAATGGCATAAGTAAAACGAGAGGAGATCACATTGCCCAGATACTGTAGTACTTATGAAGGAGCACGGCCAAATGCCAGTGGATGCATAACGAGGTGCGAACAGGGTCAGCTCTGGTAGCCTTTAGCCATAGCCGTAGTTGAACTCAATCGAACGGCCAGTTGGCCAACAGAATGTGGCCTGAAGCAGGTACGTAAATTGTCAGCGAAGTGCTAAGTTGGCTAGTGAGCGAGGGGAAATAGTGTTTCGATATATGATAGCATTGTAAAGATTTCCCAAGCTTCTATTTTACAACGACTCTTTACAATCTTAACAACCGGAATATATTTTCAAAGTCCGTCTTCTCCTTAAAAAGATAACCCATCTGAAGGTATTTTCTTTGGACTGTCAGCAATTGTTTAATATGCAGCATACGTCAGGTTGTCCGTTGCCTCAGCTTGCAAGTCAAGTTACTTGGTGCTTTTCTTTTATTTATATACCTGTTACTCGTTTTGTTTGTTTACCCAAAAAATTAAGAAATGTCCCAAGGCTGGAGTTCTAAACTCCACAACTCAACTTATCCTAACCGGATTTTGAAGTACACAAAACACAAAACTCTAACATTTTATTACTTTTTTTCCAATTTCTACCGATATTTCAGAACATGTTGAAATTTCGCGTACGCAATTCCACTAGCTGAGTAACGGGTATCTGATAGTCCGGAAACTCGACTATAGCATTCTATCTTGTTTTGTATTGTTTTTATTTCTTTGGTTGCTTTGTGGTATTTGCCTGCTACCACTTCAATTGATTTTCGCTTTTATGCCTCGAAACTGGAGTAAAATTGGAGGCAAGGTCAGCTTGCTGCTGGCTTTGCTGGCCATCTGCACAATATGGATGATCATGGAGCGAGGATGATGACGTTGACGTCTCACTCTCAGAACAAACAAGTTGTAATTGGGTCGACTTTTGTGTACTCGAGTCTCGTTTATGATTATAAGCAACATCGGCACGAGAAGCCAAAGGCCTTACAAAATGGCCAAGTCATAAAAAACCTTTATCAAACGCTTCGCTGATCCGACAACTTCAATGATGTTTCTCTGTTTCCAGTTGTCTGTGCTCTGGGTTGTTGTTGGATCCCCCCATTTGCTGGGTTGTGCGCATCGCGTTCGTGTGAACTGAGGAAGGACGACCTTTGG